TCACCAGACCAGCACTACAGGAAATGTTGAAGGGTCTTCTTTAAGAAGAAGCTAATGAACAAAAGAATCTGATGAACTAAATAGGTCCAGAGACACTGATGCATGCAACAGACAATCATATTTCAGAGGAAAGAGGGAAGGGGGGTGGAGGGTGGGAAGAGATTAACCAAAGAAGTTATATGCATATATGCATAACCCATGGACACTGTGAATAACGGGGTGAAGGCCTGGGGAGATGGTGGGAGCCAAGTGGAGGGGGTCAGTTGCCGGGGAAAATGGTATACCTGTAATACTCTCAACAATAAAGATAAATTTAAAAAGTAAAAAAATAAAATATAAAATAAAATAATAAAATAAAATAAAATAAAATCTACTGTTGGACACTAGGAATCTGTAAAGATCCAGGCCAGACAGACTCGGTGGGTGCTGCAGCCACCTAACGATGTCCTGTGCTCCATGAGCGCGTTTCATCCGAAGGGGGGGCACACGATTCCCTAAGGAGACCATGAGCTACGAGCGCCGTGATGGCCTTGTCTCGGCCTCTCCAGCACCTAAGAGTGTCTCCAGCACGTGGTAGGCGCTCAACAATGTTGAGTGAATTAATTTAAAGTTGGTCTCATCTTGAGAACAGTAGAGGTTCCCATAATTAAAGATCTAGGATGTTTACTAAAGTGGTGCTTCTCAAACATTTGAGGGCATACTGATCGCTTTGGAAATTTGGTAAAGGTCACCCCAGAGGCTCTACTTGGGTCAGTCTGGGTTGGAGCCCAGGGATCTGCATTCTGAGCACTTCTCCCGGGTGATTTGGGAAGAGGTAGGCTGAGAACCACCCTGAGGTACATGGTTTTAAAAGCATCCTCTTGGATCCACAAATAAAATAACAAACCAAAGCAAACTTTTAAGGAAGAGCAATTGGATCAGGTACCACTCACTGTACTGGTTCTTATTTAAGTAATTTATTCAGCAGTTCATAATCGCCTGCATCTTCTCACACATCCCTTTCAGAGCCGCCAGGCTGGGGAAAGGCAGCTCCCCGCCTGGCGCGGAGGCGGGTGGTTTGATATTTTATGGGTGGGTCATGAAGGATGCTTTGAAGCCAGTTTTCCGACCAGTGCTGGGCCGGATGACTTGTCCTCTAGTTGGATACCAGAGGAGGCTGTCGGCTCGCGTTTATATTCAAACCCTGATTCCTGTTGACCACAGTGAGAACCCTGCAGGATCCGAGGCTGGTCCCCAGCACCCCGGGGTCCCTTTCTCCTTGTGGTTACGAGTGTGCAGAGTTGAATGTGCACAAGTTACACGCCTGTATGATGGACCATCGCTGGGTGGTTACAGGTGGCCTTGTCACAATGTAAATACTCTCTGTTTTTCAGGAGGAAGAAAACAAAACTTAGACCGAAGATTTATATTGACGAAAGAGGACGTTTTATCCAACTTTGACATGTTTAAGAAAGTAAGTTGGCTTTCTTTTTTCCTAGTAAGACTGCTTTTATCACCTGGGTAGACTCCTAGTTGATCTTCACACCCTCCTGGACTCTGATGGATAAGGGGGGTGTTTGCCCTATTTCATGATCTATTTGTGTTATATGTCTCCTTCAATAGACCTCTAAAGCTGACTAAGAGAAAGAAAAGCTGTAGTAACTGTTTAGATCTGAGCGAATGAACAGATTCTTTTTTCTAATCACCATTCCAACATTTTCTTTTAGAAGGAGCCAGTTTTAAGCTATAAATCTCATCCAGCAGAGGATGGTGGAACTGATAACCCTGCTTTCAACCACATTGAATTGAACTTCACAGATCAAGGTGGCAAGATCAGTGGGACGCATTTGTGAAGCAGCTGTGATGCCAGATGACCTTACACAGCGTCCCTGTTATATATGTTTTCTAAGATAGTTCCATCAGGTTTAGATATTTTTTTGGTCTATCATGAGTGTTTGAGGGGAAGCTTTCAGGGGATAAAATTTTGTTAAAGCAATGTCCTGACTGTCCTCACTTCCTACACTCATCCAGCAGTGAACTCACCCCATGTGGAGTTCAGAGCTGCAGGGTCAGCATTTGCCTCTCCCACTTGGTTATGTCCTTGAAGCTACAGCTGTGGAAGTTATGACAGTTCTGACTCTCTCCATGCCGAAAGGCTGATACACACATACACACACACACTTGACGGTCAAAAGCATATCCTTAGATTCAGGCATTGTTAAAAATATTCCCCATTCTTTCGGTGCTAGCATATCATAACAAATATTGAAAGGAGCTTTTCTCCCTCCTACACACTCTGTTCTTAGGGAGGAATGAGGGGACAGGTCTGTGTTGTGTGTGTCTTTGCTTCTCATTGACCCCCGTGAGCCCAGGAACCGACTGTGGCTCAGGAAGGTGGTGACCACGAAGCATGCTGTTTGGGACAGAACATGGGTCCAAGGATCACGGTCTTCTGGGCGCTGTGCTTCTAGTCTTACGTCTTTTTGCTTGTTAGCAAGACTTCCTGGCCCTGCTGCTTGTATTGCCTTTCTTAGACTCTGCATTGCTAGTTTCTCACCCATCAACTTTGGTTTTGCTGTGCCCTTTACCTTTCCCTGCCTTCCTAATTGCCTGTTTTCTTTGTTGTCTTGAGACAATTCACACCCCATGGGAGTCATGCTAACCCACGTCCTGGTTCACTAAGCCCCGGCCTATAAGTTAGAAACACCCGTGAGCCTGACACTGACTAAAATATCTTCAGCCTAGGTGCTCATGGATTTGGTGATCCAGGGACATTTGTGTGATTAAAAATGGTTAAGCTCCATGGAGTTAGATGATTACACTGAATGCTATGAAGTTGAATTTTTGAATGTCAACTACTTTGTAATTAATTAAATTTAATGATACATAGGCTTAGAAATCTTGACCTCTAGTATGTTCACCCTGTTAAAGAGCTAAATTACACAGGCAAACACTTGTTCTTTAATGTTCTGAAATTATTAAATATGTGCTTTGTTCCATGTTTTACCACTTCAAGTAGCAGTTTCAAAGTTTATTTTATTTTGCTACAATTCTAGCTAAGAGTTTGGTAAGGCTTTCATCAATAACTTATTTCCTGTGTTACCACATTAGATACAGTTTAGAGTTATGTGTGTGTGTTTTTTAGCTTTGCAATGTTTTAAAATAATTTCAGAAAAATTTAAATACATTAAAATATTTTACAATTAAATAATTTTTGCTTATTTTCTGATATTTAGGTAAGCATGCTCTGTACATCTATGGTTGCCAATTGAAAATGTTAAGAAATAAAAATCAGGAAGTAGTATTTAAAATGGAGATTTATATAATTTAAATTAACAACATATTCATATATTTTATATGCATATAGATGTTATTTTTTAATCAATATATTTGTAAGCATACATTGAATTTTATAAATCTGTATGTTTTAATGAGTAGAAAGATATAATGTTATTTGTTTTATGTGAGTGTGATTTGAACTACTGTTATTTATTTAATAATCCTAAATGCACGTGTGTGTAGGATTCTTCGGTTTTGGAAGTCAAAGTCAGGCAATGAAGTAAGTTTTTCTCCTCTGGCTGCCATGGGATTTTGCAGTGTGTTCTTAACGAGAGAGAAGGTACTTCCATTCTTGTCCACTTTCTTTTACTAAAGTACATATTTGTGATATTAGGAACTGTTGATCTTTCACTTTCATAAATACATGATATAATTCTTAAGAAATAAAAGTTATGTTATTAATTGTTAAAGATTATTTATTTTATCTAAATCTTTGGGCAAAATCAAAGAGAGGTAAAAGTTACTATATTATAATATAAATAATCTAATGTTCTTAATTATTTTTCATCACAACAACCGTAATAGAAACACAAGTTGTCTATTTTTATTTTGCCACTGACAAGTTGTATGACCTTGGATTTATCCTTAATCTTCCCTACTGATGGAACATAACACTAAACACCTGCGTCACAGGAATAATGTGAGTACAGGAGATCAGATAGCACTTTAATAACTCAAATAGTGTTACTTAGAATCCCAATATGATCGGAAATAAAAATTTGAGACAAAGCTCATTTGCCACTTAAAAAAAAAGATAAGCTGTTAATAATTTGCAGTGTAATGATGTGGGGATAGTTTCTTCTCTAGAAAATATGTGCCATAGAATTATTGAAATATATTTAGTGGTCAGCAGGATTACATTTAAAGTTTAAATGTAAACTTTAAAGAAGGCTGTAGACCAGTCATATTCACTTCATAGAGAAATGAAAATTTTGTATGTAGGATGTAAGAAAGTATAAATTATATTCATCTATTTAGTTGCTTATGCAGTCATTTTCTCTCTTGACTAAAGGTTCTCAAGGGGGCAATTCTGCACCTCAGGGGACATTTGGAAATACTTGGATACATTTTTGGTTGTCATAGCTAGTGAGGAGGTGCTACTGGCATCTAGTGGAATTTAGGGATGCTGCTAAACATCCTAGATGCACGGGGCAGCCCCTCTCCTCCACTACAAAAATGATCCTGCCTCTGATACAACAGTGTTGAGTCTGAGAAGCCCTGTCCTGGAGGCTACGGTTGCAATCTTGATTGTCCTGAAGTCACACCCCCCGGTTACGTTCCTTTAGGGAAATTTCCATGAGTCTTCTGATCTCTCCCGTCTACACGTGAAGAGTCAATATCACTAAACATATGGAATGTTATGATGTGGGATAACGACCTTGTATTTTCACAGCATTTTGAAAATATTAAGGACTATAGACTTGTGAATAACTATGAGAACAACTCTTAACACTTTTATTTTCCAACATGATTTCCAGAATTAACACACATTAGGATGAAGGAAACATTAAGTATATGAATATGAAGATTTTATAATATTGTTTTACTTATGAAAACCCCAGAAAGTATCACTTATCGTTAACAATGGAGTGTCTGTCCGTGATGTAGACACAGACAGGGATGGCGTGGAGAAGGGGAAGCTACTTACTCTCTGCGTCGATTCTTAGAGGAAATTCTGACTTCTTTCCAATGATGGTTGTCGGTAGGAAGCCAACTGAGTGCATGACCATTTAGTTACTGAAAATTCATTGCACAATTTAGTCATGGCAACATTTATTTTTACATTTAAGCTGTGTGCCTATTGTTTGAATAAAACTTGAGAGACTTGGAGATTATAATGTAAAACATGGTTGCATTTCTGATTTTTCAACTTGCTGATTAAACTCTCTACAAGTGTCTTTGAAGTTGTCTGTTCTTGGGGGATTAAACAGAATTAATTTTATCAGCTTTTACAAAAAGTTATTTCCACTCCATTTACCACATAAAGGACTCTTCCTATATACTGTATATAAATTATAAAAGGGTAAGCAAACAAACATGCACAATTTCTGTCCCCAAACAATCTATTTTAAGTAATTAACTGTGTTTGAAAATAGAAAGTCACATCTATAATATTGGATATTTCTTAGCCATTACCTCTTTGCATCCCCCCCCTTTCCCATTTTCTCTATTCCGTAACTCTTTAACTCCTGAATATTGCTACTTTTTATCCTGTCCTCCAATCTTTTTATATTTATGCATTGCATCCTGATGATTACCAAAAAATGTTGACTTGAGATCTAAACAGAAGTAAAATATAATGTTATTTCGAAATGGAGAATTACGAAGCCTCCTATTCATACATTTAAAACAGAGGAAGAAGCAGGGCGTTTCAGTAACTGGGACATACAAAGTACAGTGCGACTTAAAATAGGGCCCGTTGTGGAGGCAGATGGAGGGGGAAAGGGGGGAGGTGAGCGAGGCGGGACAAGAGGCGGGAGACAAGACCAGGCTGGTGGTGCCCTTCCTTCCGGGGCCGCGCCCCGCAGCCTAGGATGCTGTGTAGAAGCCGGGACACCCAGGCAAAGACAAGATGTTTAAAAATGGCAGGAGAGAGTCAAGAAATACCTTGTGTTACACGCTGTTGAAGAGGCGAGGGCCTGGCTCAAGGAGGCTGCCTTCAGGGCAGTGATCAAGCAGAGAAGAGAGGCAGGGGAGCAGCTCCGGAGGAAAGAACAGAGGTGACACAATTCAGGAAATTTAAGCAATGACCCCCTCTCCCTGGAGCATTCCGTTCCCTCCTCAGCTCTTTTCCACATTCAAATAATCAGGTCTTTGATGTTTGTAACTCAGAAAAGGGATGCTTCGGCAAATACCAGAGAAAAGAGGGATTTCTTCTTGGTTTTTGAGTGTCAAAAATCTAGCTCTTAGGTTAGCAAGGATAAAATATCTTGGAGCGTGAGGGCTAGGCTCTCGAACCCCTAGAGTGGAAATGGGTTCCTTCTGCTGGGAGGGTGAGAGGGAGGCGATGAGAGTGAATATATTCCTGAGTCTCTGAGGAGGGGTCTCTGTGGGTCACTACTCCACGTGCTGAGCCCTGGGATGGCCACAGCAAATCACCCTAAGTTTGTGGGATATAAAAGTCAACAAAACTTGTGCCTCATTTCCTGGTTAGAGCTTACAGCCACAAGACCCCAGTCAACGCACAGCTGAGTGATAGGTCTGGGCAGGCATATGGCTTTGGGGTGTTAGACTTTACCATGTTTAATAAGCACAGAAGCAGAAATTGCTGAATGAGGCATCCAGGCAAATAGGAATTCAGCCTCACAATTCTCTGCAACCTCGTGTGGTAGGAGGTAAGGAAAGAAACCCATATGGGAATTAGGCTCAAACAGGATGAGACCTGTCTAGACTAGACAATCAAGGATTTGATGGTTTCTGAACAGAACATGAGCATTACAATCTCAGACAATGAAAAATATCTGGGCAGGTGAGGGAGTGGTGCTGGGAGGAAGAAATACTATTCTCTTTACAGCAAGTAGCCAATACTGTAGCTAAACATTTATTTCAACCTCAATGATTTTCATGATCTCTTTCTTAAGCATACTCATTTGTGTTCACTGCTGTATTTTTAGCATCTAGAACAGAGTCTGGCCCAGTAAATGTTTGTTGAATGCATGAATTCATGCAATTCCTGCCTTTCAGAGTTTTCACCCACCTTTTTGCTTGTTTGTTTGTTTTTAAATGAGTGTCACAGGTTTGATTTCCTAGGAAGCAGTCTGAAATGCACTTTAACGTGCTCAATGTTTATTACAGAGTGCCTTTAGGATCAACACCTGTGGGAGGAAGGCGACAGAAGCCGGTCTGAGCAGAGCTGGAGGTTGAGCTGTAATGCAGATTCCAGGACAATCCTCCCACAGAGACTCTGAAGGCAGAGGAGCCCTTTGGAGTTATCCCAAGCTGGGCTAAGATAGCCAAGCTTTCCTGTTCCTGCGTCAGGAATTAGTTGTTGACACGGGCTGACATGAGGAGTGTCTCAGACCAGGTGATCCTCTGCAGGGAGGCAGACAAGAAGGGGTGGAGAGGCGAAGGCTTTCTGCCAATACCGCCCCCCACGGCTGGGGCACAAAGGCCTTCCTTGAAGGGGGAGCTCCACAGGGTACTACAGTGTCCACTCCATAAGGTAACTGCATTTCAGAGAATTTCAATCCCTTATCCAAGTCGTACACCTTAGATCTGAACTTAGTTTTATCTCACTCCCATGTTTCTCAGCCCAACAGAGCCACTGGCTTTGCCCTGCAGTCAGCGGCTCCGCCTGCTGTTCTCTGCTTGAGTGTTGCTGGGGGACACAGCTTCCAGGAGTTCTAGCTAAACTTTCTGGCTGGGGGGCTGGGAGCTACACTCAGCATGGGGTGGGGCTATGAATTAACACCCCGACTGGGTGGATGGGAGGCCAGCTCCAAGCGGCCTCCCGGGTGATCTTGGTCCAGCTTTTGGTGGGAAGGGACTAGGAGCCACCCTCAGCAGTGGGTGGGCCATCAGATCAGGAGTACGAGAAAGATGAAACTAAGAAACGGCTGAAGTTCCAGCTGCCCAAAGTCACCAACAGTTCCCATCCAAGGGATGAAAACCAATCAGCTCAGGTGAACCCACAGCCAGAAGAAGGCAGCGTTTGACGTATGTGATAATGGGAGCACAGTCCCCTCCCCAGCCGGCCCAGGAAAGGTGATTACACGGTCCAAGGGCAGGTTCTACAACCTCTGGAAGAAGAGCAATTGCAACAACAGGCGTTGCTCGGAAACACCTTTCCCCGCAGAGACAGCCCCTGTCCTAGGGTGAGCAGAGCACACCAGTAGGCAGGGTAATCAAAAGCACTGTCAGTATCAGTGGCCACGTTTCGTGTGTCAGTGGCATTTTCTAAGCTCTTCTAATTAGTTGGCTCGGCACGCTAAGAAGGTAGCATGGAAGAAAGATGGAAAGGGTGACAGGAGGAAAACTGTCCTGTCTCTGCAGGGTAAAGGGATGTCTGAGGGGGGCTTGGGAGTGACAGGCATTTCTTGAAAGACTCCACTCTGCTACGTTTCCTCTTATTCTCTGAGAAGGAGCCACAACAGAATTTCAGAAGACCCGGCTGAAAATATTCCATGTGCATAAATTTATTTTAAATCTTATTGCATCACATTATACAAGCATTAAACATGGCTTCATGTTGGTGACTATTTAAATGTGAAAATTCATCATTCATGTCAGTACCTTTTGGCTATTTACAAGTAAGGAATTTTTATTACTTTATATATCTCTGTACTTGTATGTACATATGTAAGAATACATGACTATACATATGTACACACAGAAATACATCTATGGCCATACACATAGCTATAGATATGTCATATATAATATTCTCCTCAGAAAGATCTGAAATTAAAATAAAAAAGAAAGAAAAAGTTGTAAACAGGGTCTTGTTTGGGTGACATGGAATTAGGACTGTATGATGACATTCTAGGAATGCGTGTCCAGGTGTCCAAATGCCATTTTCAGCCCAGTGTCTGTAAAATACCCATGGGATAGAATGCAAAAAAGGTAGCAAACAGGCTGAAAAACAGGCCCAGTATACAAGTTCCCCTTGGTTTTAAAAACTTGAGAAGGTGACTGCCCGTGACGTGCATGCTTGCTCGGCCGAGCGTGGTCTATGGGTAGATAGCGATCGTGCGCCGGACTGCACCGTGCTCTCGCGGGCAGTCCTGGAGGGTGCCAGCTCCCCTGCTGCTGCCGATGGCTGCGACATGCACCGCGCTTGCATTTCGGTCATTCACTTAGTGTGCTTTTGCACAGCCAGGAGAAGTAAACAGAATCCAGGTCCTCGGCCTGGAAGTGAACGATTACCTGGGGAGAGAAAAAGAGGCGTTAAAACTCTCCGTACACATGTTGTGCAGTGGTTTGCACTCGCCGTGGGTCAAGGGCACTCAGAGCATTTGTGACCCCGAACTGAGTCGGGCGCGGTAGAAACATCACTATGCGTGCTTTCAGGGGAACAGACTGAGTGGGTGCGAAGTGAGGTGACGTCCTGCCAACTGTTGGGGGAGTAGAGACAGACAGACAAACACTATGCTCTTAAGCAAAACTTAGAAATGGCCTTGTCGGGGAGAAAGCAGCCCCTAACGATGAGGCCAAAAGAAACTCCCAACGGGTGACTGGCCCCGCAGCCCAGGGCCGCCCTGAGCATAGAAAACGCCACCGCTCTGCTTTGGTTCTGGCCCCTGGAGCTCTGGGGAGCAATTCTCTTCACTAATGTCTGCCTCCCACCTCAACTAATGCTGTCGGGATATTCAGCCCTTCTCTTCTGAGGCTGATCAGGAGGGTGATCAGAATTGGGGGAGAGGGGCCAGCGGCTTGGGGGAATTTATAGAATCTGGGAAGGGTAAAGCAGAGCAGGCTCTTAAAGTATTGTTCAGTCCAACTTCTTTACTTTTGGAAATGTGGCAATCGAATCCACTTCAAAGCCACCCCAGGCCATACAGATACAGATAGAGAATGGAAAAGCCAGGTTTAGAACCCAGTGGGCTACAACAGAATGCTTAACAACAAACAAAATCCCGTATTGTACTCTACAGTATTTTATTGTTTCATCAGTGTCTCACATACAGTGCCTATTTGAGCTTAGTTCTGCCAAATAAGCAGGCTCAGAAAAATTAAGTATTTTCCCCAAAGTCATGTAGCCAAATGGCAGATCTGGGAAATGGCAAAATTACTAAGTAGCAAAACATTTCTTGCCTTTGGGGAAGCCAAGGTCTAATTTGGAACTGAAGGCAGAGCCGGTGTTCCACATCTATATACCACTGATATCCCTGTGGGCCTGGGGCCTAGGTGAGGTCCTCCTATTCCACCCCCATATCCAACTTATAATAACCTCCTGGACTCTCATCCCACATCTGGCTTGATACAACCTCACTAATTTAACAACAACATCTCTGCAGATATCTGGCATATCTTAATCTATATGAAAAGTGAAAAATGTACTTTTCCCCCTGGATATCTCATATTTCTTTTAGAGGCCAAATTTTGCAAAATGTTTTCAAAGTTAGTCTTCAAACAAGTGGAGAGAGAGAAGTGAAGGACACGAAGGAGAAAGAAAGGCTACAATGTCATATTCACTGAATATCAAAACTGAGAGCTCATCTAATCATTCCATCACTTGGAAACTGAGGCTCAGAGAAGTTAAGTGACCTGTCCAAGGACACACAGCTAGTAACTGACTTGCCAGAGGAACTTCAGAAGAACTTTTTCATAAGATATGTGGGAACATTATGGAACTTTCTTACAATATTTTTACCCTTAATCCATCCAAACTTTACTAATTGAATGTGCATTTAAATGGGTGCCATGTGCTTAACACTGTACTAATGAGTTCGATGAATAAATTACCATCCATAGAGTCTTTGGTGAAGATGCTTACAGCTGTGCTGCGGAAGCCTAATAAAACTGATGCAAAAACCAGAGAAGTTTATAAGGAGACAGTCTCAATGGGCTGATAAGTCTCGGGAAAACTGCTTAAAGGGTATGGCATGACATGGATCAGTCTGGAAGGAAGCAATAAATGGGTGAGGGAGAGAAGGCCATCCTGGATGAGGTGGGAAGGTGACTTTAACCAGAAAGAAGGGACATGCTGCCCGAGGATCTTCAAGAGAACAGCCAGGCTGGAGTAGAAGGGGGAGGTTGATTTCAGGGAGCACCTAGGCCAGCTCATGAGCACTGACTGATAGGCCAGAGGCACGGAGGCAGAGGAGAGTTGCAGGTGTTGTGTATAAAGGGAATGTCAAGTTAAACTTGCAATTAAAGGAGAAAACAAGCTGGTTTTGGAAGCTCCTAAGGAGTTCTTTTGATCCCTAGCAGTAGAACAACAGCAAGCTCTGATTCAGGGAGTTTACAGCTGCCCCCAGCCCAGGAGGGATTTCACCCCTGAGCACACTCTCACCTACCTCGTCATGGCCACTCGTTGTGATGTGCTTTGCCGTTTTTCTTTCTCTCCTTCCGTTCCTTCTGGAGACGCTCCAGTTCTGCTTCATACATCATCTCCTGAATCAAGTACTTCTCCCTTCTCATTCGATCCCTTAGATCTTTTGGGAGGTCTGGGATCAGATATGAAATGAGGTGCTTTATACAAAACACGAGGTGCTAAAAACACAGAGGAGAATGCAACAGAGTCAGGTCTGCTGTCCCTCCTTAGCTGGAAAGAGCTCTGGGAGTGGTTCAAGAACTCCTCTCGACCCAGGGACACGGAGCCTCCGGAACGCCTGGGGACTGGGCCGAGGCCAGGGAGGTGTGTGTGAGGAAAGAGCTCAGGGAGAGGTGAGCACGGAACTTCATCTGATGGCACCACACAGGGGAGGAGAAGAGGGGTGAGAGGGAGGTAGAGAAGGAATGGTCAGAGTGCATAGGAGAGCCAGGAAAAGTATACTGTGGAATCAGGAAACCCAGGTTTGAATCCCAGCTCTGTAGCTTTTACTACTTATGAGCCGTCTATGAACCTAAGAAAAAGTTACTCTGAGCCTTAGTCTTCTCATCTATAAAATGGGTATTGTGAAAATTATATGAAAATGCCTTTTTTTTTCATTTTAAAATCATTTTTATTTTTCAATTGAAGTTGAAACACATTCATTATTGCATTAGTTTTGGGTGTACACCCCAGGGATTAGACATTATAGAACTTACTAGGTGATCATCCCCCAACATCTCATACCCATCTGACACCACACATAGTTATTAGAATATGACTATCTTCCCTATGCTGTGCTCTACATCCCCATGACTGTTCTGTAACCACCAATTTGAAATTCCCAGGGAAGAGCAGCTTAATATTATCTTTTCTTGGTTCCCCTGAGTGAAAGAAAAAACAGTGATAGAATAGTTTCAAAGAGGCGTAGGAAGCTTTTAGTCCACGACATAAGGCAGCCTTGGCTTATGTTAATTTGGCTTTACTGTATGTAACAGGAGATGAAATTTCTATTTATGAGTACGGTAATAGAAATGCAAACTATTCTTAGCAGCAATTTTCTTAATGACTAAAAGAAAATAGGTACTATATTTTTATTGACACATAATACATGCAATTACTACACAGATTATACCTTTTGAGTATAATTATACTTTTTAAGTCTATTTTGAATCTTAGGTAATGAATGCTTATTTGTGTGCTTGAACATAAGTAACGTCATGATGCTCCACAACCAGAGGCTACCACTTGTAATTCCCAGTTCAGTGGTTTCCAAACTATGGTCCTTGAACACCTGCATCTGGATCATCTAGGAGGGCTTGTGAAAAGCAAATTGCATAAATGATGTATCAATATCTCTAGGAATGGGGATGGAAAAAAGGTAATTTTCCTAAAGTTTAAGAACCAAAGCCCTAGAATATTAAATTTAGGACCAATAATTCCTGATTTATCCATTAAAAATCTACAATGGACTTTGAAATATTTCTTGGAAAAAGAAAATAGAGTTTATATAATAGCACCATACTGCTTCTGGACATACATAACCAGAAAGTTCTCATAGCTTATACTTATTCATTACTTCTAGTTACTTCATTATGTCAAAGGCTATAAAGGAACAGTTCTGAAAACCTACCTCAAACACAATGATGAAAGCCAGGCGAGCTGCTAGGACATGCCAGAACTGCAGCGTGTAGCCGTAGGGCACCAGTGAATGAGGGGGGTCACGGTAGTCTCGGTATCTAGAAACACACAGGGCAAGGTCACGCTCCCAACTGATTTTCCTGACTCCCAGATCTCTCTCATTCCCACTATGTAGCCCTTTTTCGTGGGAGAAAATTTTTAAAAATTAATCGTTCTTTACATTTTCTTTTTCATATTAAAAACACACTCATGGCTGTGGTTATTTGGCAAAACATTTTAGGTAGGGAATTTCCGGGTAAGGGTCCAGTTGTTGAGAACGGGCATCTCTTGGCTCAGCCTAGGAGTAGTACATGTCCACTGGTAGATGCATCGCGGGGCTCTGCTAACCTCTGCCCGGAGGAATGCAAGGAGTTTTACGGGGTTAAAACCCAGCGGTGCTGCCGCCCTGGCCAGTACGCCTCTGTTGGCTGAAGTGTCNGGGGCTCTGCTAACCTCTGCCCGGAGGAACGCAAGGAGTTTTACGGGGTTAAAACCCAGCGGTGCTGCCCTGGCCAGTACGCCTCTGTTGGCTGAAGTGTCGTCCCGTACCCAGAATGGCCATGGGTTCAAGTCCAGGTCAGGGCACATACCTAGGTTGTGGGTTTGACCAGTTTGGGCATGTTCAGGAGGCAACCAATTGATGTATCTCTTTCACATCTTTCTCATCTCTCTGTCTCTTTCTCAAATCAGTATAACATTTTTCAAAAATCCTCAGTGGTGCCAATGAATTGGCTGTCACCTGATTCGCTGCCTTGAGGCCGTCTCCGGAATTATGCACAGGAGAGCATGCTGGAACCAAGTTTGGCATTTGCCTGACACACGTGGCCTTGGGTAATTCATGAAGCTTTTCTGGATATCAGTTTCCCCTACCAACGAACGCAGGGTCTCCATCCCACCCTGCTCTAAAATGCTGAACTCGCGCTCTCGTATGAGTCGCATGACTGCTGAAAGCGGAGCTCTCCGTTCGGGTGCCGGCGCACCTCCCATCCTACCGGCCTTTTCCACGAGGCAGGGCTTTGGGGGAGGGCCGTGCTCAGCCGTCGATTGTGCCCCGTGTCTCTTTCTGATGTAGTGCTAGCTCTTTGCGTAATGACGGGCTACACGTTCCCTGGCACTGGTACAAAGAAAACACTTCTCTGTCCTGCTGTAGAAACAGCCAGAAGCCAAGCTTCAAAGCTAATTAAATCAGTGTTACGCCTCTAATCTTTCCCTCTAGTACCTTCGAAGTCATTAAGTATCCCAGTGGCATTAATGTTGAGAGGAATTTTTTCAAGTGAGTCAGAGTTATTTTTAGATAGTAACACTTTTAGTTTTACATGTGGGAAAGGTGGGATGTTCCCTTTTGACTTAAGTTAGTGCCTCCTCTGAAGCTGCTCTTATTTCTCAAGAAATGGATGATCAGCTTGCAAACATTATTTTTCTAGCACTGAGTATAGTTCATTTACTCGCATTTTTAAACTGTGGAAATAAAAGTGTATGTACATTTGAAAGAATGGTAAGTGCACCTCATGTGGTCAGTGGCTTAGAAACGCCTCACTGGCAATCCCAGACACCTTGAGAAGGAACTGTGGAAACTTTCTGCTTTTCTTTGTATACTACTTATGCCAGCATTACTTTTGTGTGCATTGAAGGCTCTATAAATGGAATCATATTGTGCTATTTGTGATTATATATTTATTATGCAATTTACTTGGGAGTTCTCAATTCTATTCCATTTTCTATTGATCTGTTACCCCTGCCACCACCACACTGATTAATTACTATACATTTATTCTATGTCTAACATAAGGTACATCTCTACCTCATTAATACTCTTCAAAACTATCTTGAATATTCTTCATCCTTTGCATTTCTGTGTAACATTATTTGGGTACAGAACTGGCTTAATCATAATTCTTAAATTTTTATAATGAACCTAATTGGTCTATCCATGCTCTTTTTTCTCTGATTTTTACATTTACTTAATACTTTAATAATATAATGAATTCTCATAAATCCACAATTTGACCTGTGGCTACCCTGTTTCCCACTACCGTTTATTGAGGAGACTGTTCCTTCCCCATTGTATATTTTTGGCTCCTTTGTCATAAGTAAATGGGTCATATATGAATTTATTACACTTATTTATGGGCCCTCTATTCTGTTCCATTGATCTGCATGTCTGTTTTTATGCCAATACCATACTGTTTTGATTACTATAGTTTTGTAATATAGTTGACATAAGAAAGCTGATGCCTCCAGCTTTATCAAGAATGTTATGGCTATTTGTGATTCCATATAAATTTTAGGACTGTTTGTTCTATATCTGTAAAAAAATGCCAGAACCTCCCTGTGGGAGAGCCAGCCCATCTGAGGCTAAGAGTGCCACACTCACCTGCAGTACTTGAGAGGAGTCCCTGAGAACTCGCTGCCATCAGACTCAGGCTCCGATCGGTTCTCAAAGTCAGCAATTCGAAACACAGACAAACTGGCATTCACATAGCCAACCATGCACCTAAAAGAGAAAGCAGAGTCTATAATTAGAACTCCTATCATCTCTGCATCCAATTCACTAAAGGCTCTACTTCCTAGAATTTCCTATAGTTGCAAGTGCCTTTACCTGGCCCTGCATTGTCATAAGCACTCAAGTTAGGATACACTGAAAAACCCTGGGTGTGTTGAATCAAGAACAGTCATTTCTTTTGTTCCAGTCCTTTTTGTGCAGAATCATCATAATGCTTCAGAGAAATAGGTGAACGACAACATTGCATAATCAGCATAAATTACAGGTAAGCCACTGCTTCTTTCACTGATGACATACACACACAGAGAGACAACACACACACACAAACACATTACTTCATTAATGAAATGTATGCTCTCTCATAATGCCCTGAATCTAACTGACGTAAATATGGGCCCCCCTCTTCGACTCACATCCCACGCTACAGTCATGACAGACTATATGCCCTGCATGTATCACATGCTTTCATGCCTCTGCTCAGCTTTCCTTTTCTATTGGGATTCCCTACTCATTTCTTTAAAAACGAAAGCAGTGCTCATCTTTCAATAGCCAACTGAAATGTCACACCCTGGGAAGATGTCCTAATCACCCGTCAGAAGACTCATTCCCTTCTCCCTATGGTGCCGCATACTTACTTCACAATTACCATATAGCTTGGACTAGAGTTGGCTGCCTGCATGTGTGTCTTCTCCTTTGAACTATAGTTGTGGTTTTTTTTTGAAGCAGAACAGATGTCCTGGATATTTTTGTATCCTTGGTGCTAGGACAGTCTCATGTAGTGTAGGAATCCAGTAATATTGATTTAATTGATTTGATTGGAGGCAAACTAAAGTACCAGAGATTCTATCAAGGTCTTGAACATGGACCAGGAATAAAACTATTGCCTGGATCTAGGGATTGTAAAGTTCTTGAGGACATGGCTTTCATTCTGTCCCAGGGTCAGTACATTATAATACTAAGTACTTGGGCTTTGGTGTTAAACTGTAGCTCTGCTGTTTTTTAGACATGTAATCTTGGGAAATTATGTAACTTCTTTAAGTGACAAAAGTCCCCACCTCATAGCGTGATTGTGGGGATTAAATGAAATGATATATACAAAGTAAGTGATATAGTGCTTAGGTTATAGCAAGATCTTAATAAATGTGAGTGGCCATTATTAATGCATTTAATTTTTTTGTACCGAGCAGGAGATCAATAATACTTACTGATTAAATGAATAAATCCTGATCTTCATACCCTCTTCATTAACATTTCCCTGGTATGATTATTCTAAGTTGCTTACCACCAAACCAAAATGATGACATGAACATAGTTCTGAGAACACATGGGCTCTATGTGTTGTCTCGCTCAAGACAAATCACTGGTTTATCATGGCCTTAAAAAATGAACCAAGCAGGACCCATTTGTCAGGTCACTCATGGGTGAAACAGCCAGTCAGTGTGTGTGTAGCATGCCTTCATCCAACTGGCAGCCGGCCTCCCCTACTACTCCTTGGAAGGGTGATTAGGATTTATGTCTCCCTCATCTATGAACTGCCTAGAACACGACGTGAAAACAAATGAGGGCCTTAATGATTATTAGCTGTCACAGAGAGGGAAGCTGTTTTTGTGAAGTACGGGAAATAGCAGAGTCTTCTCAGGAGCTGAGCAGTGGGAAAGGAAAGGTGCCAAAAACAGGTCCAGCATTAAAATGGAATATTCACCACCCCTCCTGCACTCTCTTCTCACAAAGCAGCTCCGAGCTTTACTGAGATTAAAGCTGCTGTTTAATGGATACTCTGTTCGAAAATTCAACTGAGAAAATCTAAATTCAAAGGAAATACCTGTCTCAAGGACTGAACACCCTACCGTCAAAATAAAGAGGATACATCTTTAAACTATGTACAAGCATAGTCATGTCATAAATCCAAGCTGAAAACGTGCCGTTAGTGGGTGCGTACTCCTTCTAAAGGCAAAGCGTTACACATGGACCTGGTATCTACATAGAGTTATCAACTCTAAGTCTTCCTACATAATTTCCACAATCATGGAAGTAGAGGGACTGCTGATACTGAACTACTTAGGCATTTCTCTCATTCTTTCCACTACAACAGAATCTTAGCTTGCCAACATCAAAGAGCTGAGACAGTCATCAATTCTAGAAAATGAAATTTCCCGTCCTTTGCTGTATCGAGTTCAGCCAGATGGCCCTGCCGTGTCAACTCTGGCCTGGTGCTGCGGGAGCAGATTTCATGTCTATCGCTCGGCTTGCTGGCAGACCGCCATACCCTCACTGTGACACCACCAGCTCCAAGTGAGACAGAGACGCTGCTACACATAATCAGGAGAAGGGAGAGGTGCGGAGAAAAGCGTATCAGACAAAGGGAGGATTTCCAGGGAACATAAAATAATGAAGTCAATTTTATCTTACGGGAGGGGTAGGTGGCCTCTCAAGGGATTTCCAAGAAAGGAGATTCAGAAAATGTCTACATAAGGACAGCACTGTTTGAATGAGGATGCACACTTCTTCAAGGTAATTTCTGAGAAGACCACTCATTTAAATGTGAGAAAATCATTCATTACTTATTGTTGTCTTGATTCAGTGACACTTGACTCCTTGGGGCTACTTGAACTACAATGGTTATAGAGAATGAATGAATTTGGCTTAGACTAGTAAACCAGAAGGCAGGGCTGCTTATATGAGTACGCAGCACCCAACTTGGGATGATTTGGGGGGCACTGAAAAGATCCTATGATCCCAGCACACCCCTCACTCTGACCAACAGACATGTAAATCCAACAATTTGAATTAGACTATTTTGACTTAAGCCAAACAGGGACATACTTTCCATGAAAGTATGTTAAGACTTCTTGTCTTGCCCTAGCCGGTTTGGCTCAGTGGTTAGAGCATCAGCCCTCAGACTGAAGGGTCCTGCGTTCGATTTGGGCCAAGGGCACGTATCTCAGTTGCAGGCTCCATCCCCAGTCGGGGCACGTGCAGGAGGCAACCAATCTATGTCTCTTCTCACATTGAAGTTTCTCTTTCGCTCTCTCTCCCCTCTCTCCCCCTTTCACTCTCTCTGAAAAAGCAATGGAAAAAATACCCTTGGGTGAGGAGATATATATATAAAGACTTTTTGTCTTTTTCCAAGGGTACAGCAATGAAAACCAGGGGACAAGTTATAATTTTGCCAAGGCTTTCTTTGATCAGAAATACAGAGTCCTGGCTTTGGGAACCATTTAGGTGATGCCACAGAACTGAGATCCCAGGGAGTTAAGTTCACCCAATTTGCCTGCGGTTATATAGACACTGGTCAGGTCATAAGCCAGGAAATAATCATTCAGTCACTAATTTCACTAATATTTATTGAGTCCCTTGTGGGTACTCAGCACATGGTTACACAGTCCCCAGGTAGAATTGCAGAGTCTACATATAAAGAGACAACGGGAATCAGATTGTTACTATCCTTTTACAAACTCATAGAAGGGGCAAAACTACACACTGCATCATGTACACTGTTCTGCTACACACATGACAATACCACATCACACATCTCTGAATTTATAGTGGTTGGGGGATGGGGGAAACGGTTCATTGTTGCTCTCACACTGGATCCCATTTAAAACTTGTCTGACTTGCATGACCCCAATCCCTTCAATAGGTCAGGTTGTGTTCACTTCGGCTGAAAGTGTTACATCATAATCCCCCCGCCGCCGCACCACAGGCCTTCTTGTCCTGGGTTTGTGTCCCGTGCACTCCAAAGCAGAGGCCTCTGTCTGTCGAACACCACGATGGCCAGGCAATGGAGTTTCCATGATGGTCTCACAGCCAACTTACTTTTGCCCAGCTTCTCCTTGGCCCGCACAAGGTCCGTACTTATAAGCGTACACCAGGCGAGGGATGAAGTCCGACGTTATCGCTATGACAAACGCGTTGGTAATAACGGAGAGAATGCCGATGCCTTCAAGAATTCCATACCAAATTCCTATTCAGAGAGAAGTGTGTATTAATTCCAGGCACACGGCAGAGGTAATAAATATGAAATTAACCGGGGAACTGGTTTTCAATAGTTCTTTCCAAGGGTCCTTTCATCTTCCCAAATACTGACCCTGGCAAACAGGAGCAAGAATTTGTACTTGCAAACACCTTGGCAGGGAAGGAGTTCCTGTGAAAGTGCCAATGCTCACGTCTTAGAAACTCAATCAGGATCAGACATGAGTAGAGAATCCTGGTCAATGATAAGGCACCCAAACCCCCTTTGATAATATTCGCACATGCACTGTCACACGGCCACCAGCTCCCTAGGGGTACAGATGGGGTTCCTCTAGTTCATCTTTGTGCGCCCAGTTCATGACACACTGACCCAGAATAGGTGCTCACCGAATGTGTGTCTACTTCATATGGATAACAGACCACTGCGAGCCAAGTACATCCACAGTGAACCCTCTTCCCCACTCATTGGCTGGGCACCTGCCTGCCCTGTGCTAAGCACTGGATGCCGAAATAAATAAAGGACAGTCTCTGATCTCAGTCAGTCTCTCGAGGCTGCACCTGATTCAACTCGGCATCTCTAGTCAAAGACCGAGGGCCATCTCTGCGGTTAGGAACACTGGGTCATGCTTCATGTGACTCAGGCACACATTGAGGAGAGAGCAAAGCATAGTTAAGCTGATGGAAGATCTACTTTGAAAAGAAAATAAGGGATAATCAAAATTTTAGATTTCAAAGTCTTAAGACAGAAATAACTAAATTGAGAAACTGAGTACAAATTCTCTAGCAGCAGAAATGATAAATCTCCAAGTAGGCAGCTTTCCTTCTCATCTGATATCACTCAAAGTTAACGCAATTATTCTCTTGCAAGAGTTAGTTGAGTCATCTTATATGGAAACCATAAGTAAAAAAAAATCTAAAGTTGGTGGCTGTTTTTATTTTATCTACCAGATGGTTAACATCTTTTAAAACACATACCCAAATCCAACATACCTATGTCTTTGGCCCTTGAAGCTAAAGGTCGCCTCCATTGTGTGACAAATTTGTAAGCATCAAGTCGAATTTCGATTACGTTATTCAGTAAGGCCAGAAGTGGTGCTAGAGGAAAGGCTGCCACAAAGATAGTTGTGAATCCAAACTGAAGAACTGGAGAGAAAAAGAAAAATGTGGATTTGCTTCTCGTGACTATTTTCAAAGGAATAATAATATGAATTTCTCAGTGTTTTAACCCACACTTCCCCCCAGTACCAAAGCACAGGGAACAGAAAGATGGGCAGGGATACTGAAAAAGAGGCACTCCTAAGCCTGGAAGCAATGGCATCCTAGGAGCAATGATCACACCTAGGGTCCAGATCTTGTTTTCTAAATACAATCCTCTAATAAAGGGATCAGCATCTTTGGAGAAATGCTTGATTCCAGAGCTATAGCAGGGAAAATATGAGATGAGCCTGGAATATCTTGTGATGTCAGAAAGTTAGGAAGTGCTTAAAAATGATGGGGCACATCAATATGACATACGACAAGCTTGAAAAAAGTGCCCAATGGCCAAAGCTGGAACAATTTGTGTAACAAAATGATGGTATTGGATTATGACCTAAAGACTAAGTATCTACGTCCATACTGATATAAATAGATACTGATCTAAATAAATAATTGAATAATAACTAAATGGGGGAGAGGAGGCCATTCTTCCTCATGGTAGAATTCTAATTAATAAATGTAGAAGTAATGATGAAAACAGAAAATCACCATTGATCAAATATCATGGTAATGATCGTTGAAGGCAAGAACCATTAAAGAATGTTAAAATTAGCAGAGAGAAGCATATTTGTATATTATTAAAGTATTTCCCACATTACTTATTAATCACACAGGGATTTACATTAGTATATTTACAATGGAGAAACCTGGCAGATGCCACTTTAACCAAGTGATCAAAGTTAATATCACCAGTAACAAGACACAGTGACACGACATACCCCTGGTATGATATGCTGAGGAGAATACAGAATCATTTCTGTGGTACTCTTGCCAAAAATGCATAACCTCAACTTAATCATGAGACTACATCATACAATCTCATACTGAAGAGCCTTCTACAGAACCACTGACCAGTAGTCTTCTAATGTCAAGATCACGATCAAGTCAAAATTATGAAAAACAAAGACTGAAGAACTGTCTTAGACTGGGGTAAACTACGGAGATAAGAGCATCTAAACGCAGTATTGAATCCTGAATGGATCATGGACAAGAAATACAATAGTGGAAAAATTGGCATATAACTGGTACCACACAGAACTTCTTTCTCTGTCTTATCTCACTTAGCATAATATGCTCAAGGTCTATCCACATTGTTGCAAATGGCAAGATGTCCTTTTTTTACATAGTTGAATAATATTCCATTGAATATAACACTACCTCTTTATTCATTCATCCACTTATGGACACAGGTTGTTTCCATATCTTGGCTACTGTGAAAAATGCTGCAATAAATATAGAAGTTGAATATATATCTTCAATATCCCATTTTCACTTCCTTTGGGTATATAACCAGAAGTGTAATTGCTGGATCATATGGTAGATCTATTTTTAATTTTTTGAGGAATCCCAATATTGTTTTCCATAGTTATTGAATCAATTTACAGTCCTGCCAACACTGTACAAGGGCTCCCTTTTCTCCACGTTGTCACCAAAACTTGTTATCTCTTGTCTGTTTGACAACAGCCACTCTAACAGGTGTGAGGTGGTATCTCATCATGGTTTTCATTTGCACTTCCCTGATTAGTGACACTGAGCATCTTTTCATGTACCTGTTGCCCATTTGGATGTCATCTTTGAAAAAATAATCTATTCAATTCCTCTGCCCATTTTTAAAAAAAATATGTTTTTATTGACTTCAGAGAGAGGAAGAGAGAGGGAGAGAGAGATAAAAACTTCAATGATGAGAGAGTCATTGATTGGCTGTCTCCTGCATGACCCCTACTGAGGATCAAGCCCAAAACCCAGGGATGTTCCCTGACTGGGAATTGAACTGTGACCTCCTGGTTCATAGGTCGATGCTCAACCACTGAGCCACGCAGGCTGGGCCCCTCTTCCCATTTTTTAATAAGACTTTTTTTTTAAATTGAGTTGTATGAGTTCTTTATTATTTTGGACATTAACCCCTTATCTGATACACACACACACACACACGGTTTACAAACTTTTCCCCCCATTATGTGATTACCTTTTCATTTTGTTAATTGTTTCTTTTGCTGTGCAGAATCTTTGAAGTTTGACATAGCCCCATTTGTGAATTTTTGCTTTTGGTGTCATATCCAGAAAATCATTGCCAACACCAATATCTAGGAACTTCTCTGTTTTCTTCTAAGAGTTTCATCGTATCAGGCTTTATGTTTAAGTCTCTGATACATTTCGAGTTAATTTTTGTGAGTGAGATTTAAGACAGAATGTCCAATTTCATTGCTCTGCATGTGTTTATTCACTTTCCCCACTGCCATTTGTTGAAGAGATTATCCTTTCCCCACTGGATGCTCTTGTCTCCTTTGTCGGATATTAGTTTGTATTTGCAAAGGTCTAATTCTGTGCTCTATATTCTGTTCCACTGGTCTAAGTGTCTGTTTTTGTGCCAGTGCCATACTGTTTTGATTACTATAGCTTTGTAGTATAGTTTGAAAGCAGGAAGTGTGATGCCTCCAGCTTTGTTCTTTTTCCCCCCTCAGGACTGCTTTGGCTACTCAGGATCTTTTGTGATTCAAATACAAATATTAGCCGGGTGTGGCTCAGTGGTTGAGCGTCAACCTAGGATCCAGGCGATCGGGGTTCGATTCCCAGTCAGGGCACATGCCTGGGTTGCTGGCTCGATCCCCAGTCGGGGGCGTGCAGGAGGCAGCTGATCAATGACTCTCTCATCATTGATGTTTCTATCTCTCTCTCCTTCTCCTTTCATCTCTCTGTAATCAATAAAGATATATTTAAAACAAAAAACAAAAAAAATAACAAATACAAATATTAGAATTTTTTTTTCTATTTCTGTAAAGAATGCCATTAGCAATTTGATGGGGATTGCATTAAATCTATAGATGGCTTTTGGTAGTATGAACATTTTAACAATATTAATTCTTCTGATCTATAACAGATGTCTTTCTATTTGTCTGTGTCTTTGATTTCTTTCAGCATAGTCTGTAGTTTTCACTGCACAGATCTTTCACTTCTTTGATTAACTTTGTTCCTAGGCATTCTATTGTTTTGATGTTATTGTGAATGAATGGGAAACAAAGATAAGTTATCAGCATAAAATTAACTTTCATCTGATGGATAACTTTGTCAAATAAAGTATTGCTAACCAGCAATTTTCATTTTCAGCACTTTGACTATGTTATCCCAGTGGTTCCTGGGCTGTAGAGTTTCTGTTGAGAAATTTATAGCCTAATGGGGCTACAGTCCTTTGTAGGTTCTAGTACTCCCCCCTTAGGAGGGAGGCGTCCCAGCCCCACGCCAGGCTCCCCAGTCAAGGGCAGAAGTGCTGGGAAGAGGAGTCCCCATAAAATCTGACTGTGAAAACCAGCAGGGATAGCATCAGAGAAAAACAAAAGACTGCTAGAGACCAAGGCATTGCTCTTGAAAGGCCTATGCATAGAGTCACTCATCAACTCTCTTCCTCTAAGCTTTAATGCAGGAGCAGTAGCTCAGAAAGTGCCAGAAACGCGGGGATGAACTAAATTAACTAACTTCAGGGTGAGGACTGGAGGGACAAGGGTCAGGGTCAACTCTCTTCTGGGACAGAAGTGCTGGCAGGCACCAAATCTGTGCTCTCCATTAATCTGGCTAACACTATTCACCCCATTTAATTTGCTTACCCACTCTGAGACTCTTCCAATGGCTCTGCCACACAAGGGCCCTGCTTTGGCTCATGCTGCGGACTTTCCCAAAATCTCCAAAGGTCCATAAACCTCAAACAAGCGGTGGCTGGCCTCAGTGTGCCTTGTAGCTCTTGCTAAGTGCCCTCAAGTGGTGACTGGTCTCAACTTGCATTGTAACTACCATCAGGTGGCCCCAAGCCTGGTCTAAGTGGTGGCCAGTCTTGGTCTGAAATTTAGCTTCAACTAAGCAGCCATGATGCACAGCATAACCTCTCTCAAGTGCCTCCAAACCCAGCACAAGCAGCAACCAACTGAAGAACACTTTGTACTTACTACCAAGAAATCCCAAGCCCAGCACCACTAGCAGCTGAACTTGGCCTGCACCAGAGCCCCTCCCAAAAAGCTGAGGACCCAATACATCTGGTGGCTGCCTTTAAAACCACACAAGAGGACCATCCGACCAGCCCCACAAATGACACACTTTTATTCAACACAGTATTGAAAATCCTAGCCACAGCAATCAGACAAGAAAAAAAAAAGGCATACAAATTGGAAAGGAAGAAATAAACCTGTCATTATTTACAGATGACATGATTTACAACTGCACTAAAATTCATAAAGTCCCTAAAAATAAACCTAACCAAAGTTGTACAAAATCTGTATACCAAAATCTACAAAAAATTGCTGAGAAAAATGTAAAAGGAAATAAATGCAGAGATATATCATATTCATAGATTTAGATCTAAATTCCCCTCAAATTGATCTAGGGATTCAATTCAATCCCAACCAATATTTCAGTAAGATTTTTGTATAAATTAGATATTGGATTCTAAAAGTTATATGGAACCAATTTCAAGAAGAATAAAGTAGAAACTTCTGTTCACTTAAATACTCCATCAAGAGAGCGAGAAGCCAAGCCACCAATCAGGAAAAGATATTTGATTTACAACATATATATCTGGCCAAGAACTCATATCCAGAATATGTAAATAAATTCTATAAATTACTAAGAAAAAGGAACAAAAATATTGGCTTGAATGGGAATTCACAAAAGAGGATATTCAAATGACCATCAGCATATGAAAAGGTTCTCAGCATCATTAGTTGCCATAAAATTTCAAATAAAAATTGTAAAAAGGGTGACACTAACAAATTTTAGTCAGTATGTGGAATAACTGAAGCTCTTATACTGCTAGTTGGAGTGTAAACTGATAACAGCTCACTTTTGCAAGTGTCTGCTGAGTATCAACAAATGCATATCTATGACCTAGTAACTACACTCCTATATAAGTTCTCTTCAGAAATCTGTACATACTTGAACCAAAACACATATACAAAAATGTTCACAGCTGTATTCTTTGTAAGAGCCCACACCGAGAAACAATCCATGTGTCTATCAGAGGTAGACTGAGTGGATAACTAATACTGCATTCCTATTTTCAGGAGCCTAGAAGATCTGCAAACTCATAACATGGTTCATCTATTGGCACACTGATGCCTGCACTTACACAGGTAAACTTACCTTTCTTTAACTCCAACTTGACGGAGGCTTTGATTCCTATTAAAATACACCTATCTAGCACATTAATCTTTAGCAGTGCTTAGAAGTACATTTCATGATATGGGACAGTTGAAGGACTGGTTGGTGGGGGCTTAGGGGGGTTTTGTGGGGGGGCAGAGGAGAAGGTTAGGGAGTATCTGGAAGTGGAAATGCAAAAAATATGACTAAAGGAAAGATGAGAGTGGGTATCAAAAACAAACTGTGCCTCTTTCATAATTTTGCTTCAGGTACACACTCTAGGAATACTATACAGCAATGAAAATGAAGTCCTACTACCTGTAACAACCTGGAAGAATCTAATAAACATATTGAATGAAAAAAGACATTTACAAAAGAGTATGTATTGTACAATTCCATGTATGTGGAGATCAAAAAAGGGAAAAATTAATATATGGTGTTAGAAGTCAGAAAAGTGTCTGGGGGGATGTTATGACTGGGAGAGGGGACAAAAGAGCCTCTTTGGCAGTGGCAATATTCTGTTTCTTGATCTAGCTCACAGGATGGCAAACATTTCCTATAAAGAGCCGGATAGTAAATATTTCCGGCTTTTTGGACCATACAGTTTCTGTCAAAACTACTGAACTCTGCTGTTGTAAAGCAAAAGCAAGTATAGATAATATGTTTTAAAAAAAAGGTGGTTTCTCTGTACCAATATTTACAAAAACAGGCAGTGGGCTGGATTTGGCCTATAGGCGGTAGTTTGCCAACCCCTCTCCTACAGGTTGGTTACATTTGTGTGAAAATGCATTGATCTGTACACATGATTTATATATTTTTCTCACTCTACATAATATATCAATGAATACACTTAAAAAATATAACAAAGCAGGAAGTCACTATGAAATAACAAAGCAACAAAAATGGAAGTAAGCAGTGAGAATTCACTGAGACTTGTTTCTTGCTGCAAAGATACCGCAGTATTTGGAGCACTCCAGCTCCCGCCACACAAAAGCTTCCTCGAAAGCACTCAGTACACCACCATTATTTGTTCATTTCCTTCTTTATGGGAGAAGAGTCCATTAAGAGACCTCAAAGCATTTCTCTTAACGAATTCTCTTTATTAAGTTTTATTATTAATACCCACATTGATTTCTTCTCCAAGTTATATTGCTCTGCCATTTTGTAACTGGAACTCTGAAAACATCAGTAGATACGTAGGACATAAGCAATTTAAGAAATATTAAGCATCAATTCTACGGCTCCTTTAATTTTCAGATGCCCCAGAAAGAACTGCCTCTTTCGGAAGTAATGCCTCTTGCCCATCCCTACCCCCAACTTCCACCCCAATGTTGCAAAGCTTAAACATAATTTTTGAAAAGAAAGAAAACCTCCACATAATTATTATGCTAAGGGATTCTGTTAGCTTTTCTGCCCCAGGAGATAAGATTAGGGAAATAATAATAGTGATATAACAGGTACTAAGAGCCTAAGCCCTTTCTATGCATTAACTCATTTAATCCACACCAAGACCCTATGAAGCAATTATTCTAATTATCATCCCCATGTTAGAAATGAGAAAATTAAGACAAAGAGAGATTATGTAATAGCCCGAGGTCTCAGTTAATAGGGCTGAGATTTGAACCCAGGTAATTTGTTTGCAGACCCCATGCTCTTAGTTACATGGTAAACAGTTTGGTTTTGATTATAGAGAAATCTGGTTTCTTAAATAAAAGTGTAGCTTCGCTTAAAACAGTCCTTGCTTCCTGCCAACCCCTCCGAGAGAAATGGCTGTCCCCACGATACCCCTACTGATGCCTACTGCATCTTATGACGCTTTATTACACTTCCTCCGTATATGGCTGGCTCCCCCCACCAGTCCGGGCGCTCTCCGGACGCCGGGACCCTGCCCTGCCCCCTCTCATAGCCCTGAGCGCCAGGCACAGTGTCTGCCTGAACGCAACACGGCTCAACAGATGTCTGCTGAAGGGATCAGTTGCGCCGTGAGTGATAACGCCTCTTTCTTTGGTTCGTCAAATTTTCCAACTCATTTTATTTCTCTGGTAATGATTTACTGCAACAGACAGGACCCAATGCCGTGACAAGTCTGATGCGACTACAGGCTCCTGGCACCATCCCCATGGACTGAGCTTCTCAGAGCAACAGGCTCTTCCCTCGGGTTTAGCCGAGAGCCCCCACCCACGGTGGCCGTGATGGTAACTGGCAGGCCCCGAATGCAGCGAGGGAGCGGAATTTGCATCTCTACCGAGTAGGACAAAGGATGGGAGGATATAGCAGAAGGTTTCCATACTCATTTCTAGGTACTCATCGAAGAGTCCGTAGGCGTTCATGGGCTGCAGGTTGTAATCCTTCTCCCACTGCGGGAAGCTCAGCTTCCTCTCGGGCCCGTGCTCTTGCCGCACCTTCCTCCGGGTCCACCAGTTCTGAATCAACCTGCACAGCGAGGGCAGTGTCTTAAAAAACGCGCAACTGTTCGTGAGACTTAGGTTAGAAACGGGAGCGTCTGAACATAGACTCACGCTTTAAAAAGACCAAGGACAGGCTGCCAAGGAAATTAAGCCTCGGATTAGGATTAGGAAGGAAAGGACAACGGCGACTATGCCTCACGGGATTAAACGGAACGACGGGTGAAGTCATTTCAGTCGTTCATGAAACCGGCTCATGTTCAGCGCTGCCGATGAGGGTGGGATGAAGGACTGAGAACATCTATAAATCGACCCCCCGGTACAAAAGCAGCACCCAGATGTCCGAGGAGAGGAGGACGCAGCCTCGCTGGCTTAATTTAGGACCCACAAGAGCAGTGTCACCACACGGGTGCCGACCTGCATATGCTGATTTGGGGGGCCTAGAAAATCTGCAAAGCCACAAAATGCTTCCTCTCTGGGGCACTGAAAGCTTGCAGTTCCACAGGCGACTGGCCTGCTTTGGGCTTGAGCTCCACAGGGGCTCCGACTCCCAATAAAATGCATGTCACCCTGGGAGGTCAGCACAATAATCCTTAGCAGTGCTTGGGAGCTCATCTTATCACCTGGAACAGGGATGAGGACATTGGGGGCAGGCCTGTGTACTGCAGGGGACAAAGAAAAGCTGAAAGGTTTCCAAAAGTGGACGTACCACAAAAACAAAACAAAAGTGCAATAAAGGAAATAAGCGGATGGGTCTCAAAGACAAACTCTGTCTACTTCACAGTTTCACTCTATGTCCACATTGCTAGATGATAAAATATAGTTCCCTTGATGTCCATGACATTTTGATAAATTATGGTTTATACTTTGAAGTACAATATAATGCTTCTAAAGTTTTAATATTATGCTTTATTTAAAAAAAAGTTTTAAAGAAAACATAAAACACTGGTAGTAAGCTTTCTACAAATAAATCTAGAAGAGAAAATTACCAGTATCGGTTCTGATAGGGAGTGAAGGGATGACTTCAAAGCGAACAATTTCCGACTAACTTTTCTGGCTGAGTGGTCCTCCCTGGAACCCAGGGTTCTCTGTGGAGACACTGAGCTGACATGGACATCAGCAGGTGTGGAATTAAAGCAGAAGTGGGAGTGTTGCCGATTTATGACCCTTTAAAACCTAACTGACCAGAACTGACCGAACACAGAATTCAAGGTTATCCTTGCAGAGGTGATGCAAGTTTTTGCCTGATGTCATCAACATAAACTATTATCGCCAGGTAATAATATTTTGCCTGGTTAAAATATGCTGACTTAGAAATACTCTGGTTTCTTTCCTAAATCCCTAAACTTTTGTCCTTTCCATGTTTCTTTTATGTACAGTCTGAATTTAAGGTAGTTAAAAAACTGCCCTTCCTGATTTATCTCAGGGATGGGGAGTAGAAATCTAGTTAATATGCTATAGAGACTTGTAATGCTGGAGCTAAAAGGGTCAGAGCCATTGCTGAAAGCAGCTTGCATGCAAGTATCCAATGCTGAGGGGCCCAATCTTCTTCCTAAAAAGCATTCATTTTTGTTCATGTGACTTGTACTGAGTCTTCCAGAAGAACCAATACTTCTTTCTTGTTTTGTTTGTTTTGTTATAGCGATGACTTTTTTTAATTGATTTTTTGAGAGGGAGAGAGAGAAACATAGATGCAAGAGCAAAACATTGATCGGCTTCCTCCTGCACATGCCCTACCAGGGACTGAGCCTGCAACCCAGGCATGTGCCCTGACCAGGGATTTGAACTGGCAGCTCCTCAGTGCACAGGACAGTGCCCAGCCAGCTGAGCCGCACAGGTCAGTGCTAATGTTTATTATTCTCACAAGTGTCTTTGAGTACCTGAGCATAAACCCTTAGCTACTGGCTTAGCTGCCAAGTCTGCATTGCTTATCTTACTTGCCACACCTAGAAAAGCCAATAATGAGCAATGCTGCCTCTCAACCACAGACATGAAGGTACTTACGGGTAGCCAAGTTCCATGAAATTATTCCAGGTCTGCTTTAGCACCATTATAATACCCATTTGCATACAGAGATCAATAAGGCATCCACTAGGGTGGCACTGCGAGGTAAGCAAACACAGAAATTCAAGAATCAATGGAGGGGAAGAAAGGGTGTCTGGTCTCTAATCTTCACAAAGCTGCCCTAAGGCGGTTGAATGCAGGCCTTCAGGAAACATGGAATGACAGAGAATACACACCTCTTCCAGTCTCCACCTGTTTATCAGCCTCAAGTAGGCACCGGGGTGTCCTGCAAATCTTCAACACAGAGAAACAGACCATTAGCATCCCGTGGGTCTAAGCCTCCAGTGAATATTCTACTCAGATTAAAACATCTTCCAATGAAAATTACTGGTACAGTAAACGAGGGCTGAGGGAATCAGGAAACTGCAGAGCTGGGATGACTGCAGCTACTAGTCCTATCCGGGAGATGGGACTCTTCTGGCTTTTCTGCTTGGCTGCCGAGCACAGTTCTCATTGTTTTCTGAATATCAAGTGCTCTGGCCTATGTAGGCAGCAGGTGGGGCTGAACACATCCTGATTGTTTTGAATAACAGTAATGCTGTGGTTTTTGTTTTGTTTTTAAGTAAACGAGTTGACCAGGATTCCATTCTGAAGTACCTACTACTGAGGGGAGGCTGCTGCATTCATCTGACCAAAACCCAGTCCCCGGCTGCCCCTGGTTCTCAGCTGCTCAGAGACGCTTCCTGGCGTGGTGAATTCATGGGACGCGAATGAACCGGGGACCCCCTCCGAGCCCTCACCACTGCTGGATTCGGAAGTTCCCCGGGCTGCGCTGGCACCCCATGTCAGCCCCCTTTCCTGTCTGGGTGCCCGTCCCCTTCCTATGAAGTCAGGGACTAGGACACGTTGCAGGCCCCCTCCCCCCCCTCAAGCCGCCTGCTCCTAGAGGTGTGAGGTCCGGGGCCCTGATTCAGGTGCCGACGGAGCCCACAAGTTTTCAATCCATCCTTCCTTGTGTGCAAATAACTTTCCTCCACTTAACCTTGGTTGGAAAAGGCACACTTGGGAGTGAAAACCATCTCCCGCGATGGGCAGGGAGGGTCGGGAGGAGGCCGATCTCTCTGTCCACTCTGTAGGAATCACACTAAAGGAGGGGCGGCTCTGTCGCCCCTGGTCAGTGACCGCTGAGCGTCTGTCCCTGGCCCAGGCGTGTGGGGAGATGGGGTTCCTACCTTCCGAGGAAGAACGCAATGTAAAACGTGGAGCTGTTCAGATTGACAAACTGAAAAAGAAACATTTTCAGGGTGAAGCTGTTCTCCCACTCGGACTCCGTGCGAGGCTGTTCTGTGGACGGAAAGGAGGCAGAGTCTGAAGGCTGCCTCGGTGGAGGCCGCCCACCTCCCCCGGCCCCCCATAAACACAGAGCGGGGGCAGCGGGCCACCCACGGGTCCTGAAGCTGGCAGCGCAGCCCCGCAAGAGTTTGGGGGGAGGTGGCTACCAACTGCTGGAGGGGGCAGAATTCCCAGTTTGCTCCACTGGCACAGGGCGCCTGAGAGCCTGGGGTGGAGACGGCGGGCTGAATGAGCCTCATTCCAGCTTGACTCCCTGCAGGGGACTTCCCTTTTGCTCTCAGTTTTTGCCTGTGGGTGAGGCCTGTATGGTGTCAGGCCCCCTCCAAGCTCCTAATAATTCTTTGGTCTTTGGTCTCGATTTCTATGGCTGATGAAATACCAGATGCTCTCGGGGAGAGGGTGTCAAACCCCCATCTCAGGATGCCAAGATGACCTCATCTTTAGAGCTTTTATTGTATGTCACCATCTGTGTCTTAGGATTTCCTGACCTCACTGAGGTGCCAATTCTCATCTCCTTAGATTCTGACTTCCAGAAAGCAGATGCTCTTTGAACATTGTGATATGAATGAAAGTATGGACCAAACCTCCAACGTGACATCTCATATCAAATGCACTTGTCCTGCTCCTGGAGCTGCAACCTCACCCTCAGCAAAGAAAATGTATTTAATGCCATCACACTTTCTGCGTTTCCACATTCCCCGAGCTTGCAATTGCTCATTTACCGTGTCAACCCATTCATTCCTTTTCCACGACATTGTAACTCAAAATGCTTCCTAGGAGCATATCAGAGAAAGGATGGAAGAAGGAGAGAGAATCTGATTTAAAACGGTGTAAATGTCAATTTTGGAAACCAGGCTGCATTGCTGTGGAGGGAAGAAAAGTAAAAAGGATTCTTAAAGGGTTTTAGCTTTATTTTACTTCTGCTACTGAACTCTTGGTTACACAGGAAGGTCTCCCAGGTTGTGAGCCAGCTGGGAGGGTTCCCAGGTGTCCCAACCACAGCTGGACCAGGGCTGTATCTCCACTGGCATCTTTGCCAGCCTGGATCAAGGTGCCACTGGGCACAGTCTACCAAGGCACAGTTACCTCTTCCGTGGTCATAAGCCCCTTTCTATCTTTTTGGCAAGGGATGGTGGTGATGGAAGATTTCAAAGACCTTAAAGGAGATGGGCCATGTGCCTAGCTCTGTATCTGGTACATATAAGGCCTAAACAAGTGGCATCTTGTATTACTGTGATTATTATAAATAAAAACATGTGCTTTTGCCCCCCTCTGGACAAGTAATATATGGAAATGCACTAAAACAGGTTATGTGTGGGAGCTATAATTGCCTCAAACGGCATAGAGTAAAATGACTATCTCAATAATAAAATTGGCATACTTTCTATATCTTGGAAATGTGGAAAGTGTACAGTGCACAGCTGGCTACCAGATTACTCTAGTGCTTTAGGGAGTCAGAGAAATGTTCTTAGGGATGACTCATCCAGGTGAATGTTATTTACGTGTCAGTGATGTTTGGCCTACCTATATTCCCAGGAGAAGGCCTCCAGTCTTCAAGGCAACGAACCCTGCTGTGATTTTTCATCCCACGAAAACCTGACACATTCTTAAATAAATAAAAATTGTAGGCTAGCAAATGGACACTTTTCTAAATGAGTCTGGGCACTTTGTACACATGTACTTTTGGGGTAGTATATTTTTTGTGCATAAAAAGAAAACCCACCTTACATTAGCTCATGACAGATCAAGTTTGTGACAGGTTTTAAATCTTTAGATAGAAAAGATCCCCTGATTATTAGGCATATTTAAAATGTCCTGTTGAAGGCAAAGAAATTGCTGTGTGCAATTCAAAATAAAGGGAATGTTTCTTTTCAGCAGTGTTTCAAAGATGAATCTTTGAAAAGGCACTTTTCAGACCAAAATACTGTACCGTGAAATAAAAAGGGTTTCACTTACCTAAGTTAGTCAGAAAAAGCGCAACTTTTTCATAGAGCTGTAAAATAAATTTTATACTTTTAACAAATGAACTGTAGATGCTCTAAAACCTGTAATTTAAAGGAGACAGGTAATCAAGTCATGAGTGAAAATGATTTCATTACCCATCCATGGCTCAAACAATAAAAATAATGCGAACAATTGTGTTCTTTCGGGGTAACTGGTTCCTGCACCAAAGGGACCCGGATGAGGCTGCTCTGAGAATTCCTATGTGTACTTTTAATTTTCTTTCCTTCCCCTAGCTGTGCCTTGTCATTTCCTGTCCTTGTCAATATTCTAGCCTTAGTAAATTTTTGTTATTCTAGTTTGGTGTTGGCTGAGGAATCAGAACAGCAAAGATGTGTCTAAAATAAATGAAAATACACTTTCAGGGCCATTCATAAGAATAATAAATGTTAGCTTTAGTGTGTGGACTCTGCATCACCCATCTGGGGACTCTGAAACCCTCCGATAGATAAAACATAAGCTGCCTACTAGTCTAGCCCCCAGCGCACAGTAGGTGCTTTGCAATGTCCATAACTACACACTTTTCACCCCACATGCTCCCGACTTCAGTTTTAGTTTGTTTACTTCATCTTTTCTTGTCTGTATCTCATGAAGGAATGCTTGCTGGATAAGAGATTTCCAGTGAAACGAACTGTTACTCTGACAACATTGGCACCTGCTCAAAACAAATGAGCAACCAACCGTGTATTTGTGGACTCACTGCATGTACACAGAAGTTATTTCGTAAGATGTATAGATTACATTTTAATCAGACATTACAGAAAAGAGGTGATAAACAATACCGTGAGCTTTAATTCATTGCATCCTGCCTGGCCACAGAATCTTTCCCGCTCTGGCTGGCTGGCTAATTTCACTGTGAATCACTCACCTTTGCAACATGCAGTCCACAGTTACCTCTGAGCCTGGCTGCGTCGGGGAGGGGGCAGTGCCGGGAGCGCCAAACATCCATTGCAATCTCCACTCGACCAAGTAGTTACCCAACCATCACGTCAAAACAATCAGCAACTGCTCATTTTTCATCTTTGTCATTTCTGGATTTCGAAACTTTTTTCTAACATAATAAATTCCTCTGCATTTAAATTACCTATATTTCATTAGCTTAGTGACTACTAGTTCACCTAAGAATCATACATAAACTTCATTACTGGTAAGTTGAATGTTCTTAGGAATCACTCAGAGTTTATTGACTGTAGAATTTAGGATTGTTTAAAGAACTAGAAATGACAGTCTGAGTAGATAAAACTGTGTTGCTAACAGTATTAAATTACTTGGCCTTTAGAAAGCCCTTTTCTAATAATGAGAACATTTCAGTATCATGGCCCAGATTTAAAATGCAATATAAATGAGGGTGAGGGAAACTATAATTAATTGAACATCTCTAGGCGTAACACTGTGCTTGGTGCTCCACATACTTTATCTTACTTATTCCCTACTGCCAACCTCTAATGTCAGCATTTTTATGTAAAGGTTCACCTCAAGCCTAACAATGTCCCATTCCTCCTTCTGTTTTGCAAATGATAACAATTTAATGAGTGTCTACTATGTGTCTGGCCCAGTTCCAGACATTGGGAAATAACAACATTAATAGAAACAGACAAAAGTTTCTGGGCCTATATTCCAATGGAGACGACAGATAACGAACTAAATAAATGTAAAAAAAAATTGCATATGGGATAGTGATGAATGCCAGAGAGAAAAATAAAGCAGGCAAGGAGACAGGAGATTGTCAGATGGCAGGAGTGGCTTGCAACTTGAAATTGAGTGACCAGGGAAGCCATTAGAAAGTAACATTTGAACAAAGACCTGAAGGAGGCGAGGGACCAGCTGCTCTGCACACCTGGCAGGGAAGAATATTCCAGGCAGAAAGAAGAGCAAGTAAAAGGCCCTAGGTGAGAACGTGCCTGGCACATCCAAGGAACCAAGGGAAGGCCAGCAAAGAGCAAGGGGATCGGTGGGCAGGGAGGAGACTAGGTCAGAGATGTCCCTGGGGCCAGATCGGGGAGAGCCCCGGAGGCCATGTGAAGATGTAAACTTCTATTCCGAGTGAGAGGAAAGCCCCTGGCCACTGTGAACAAAGGACTGACGTGAGCTGATGTCTGTATAAGAAGCTGGCTCTGTCTACTGTGATGAGCGCAGCCGGAGGACAACAAACATGGAAGCAGGGAGGCCAGTCAGGAGGGCACTGCGTCACCCAGGTGGGAGTTGGGGACGTGTGAAAAGTGATCCAGCTCGGGAAACATTCTGCCGCTGAGAGAAACAGCGGAGTCAAGGGCAACGCCAAGGTTTTCACTGAGCAACTACAATCGGGGAGGCTGAGGGAGGAGCCGATTCTGGAGGGAAGATGGTGAGTCTGGGTTTGAGTGTGTTAGGTGAGGAGGGTCGAGTAGGCAGCTCGACATATGAACGTGGGGCTCAAGGGGCTGAAATACACATTTGAAAAAAGCCTGAAATCAACACAAGCAACATGCACCAACCACCCTGAGATGTTCCTTGCAGGGTCATCTCAAGGAATGCTGTGGATACTGACAACCTTCACGTCATTCAGGATCGAAAGAGAACGGGAACCAATACTGTGGAGCTATGTTACAGATTATGAGCTGGGCTTTCAGAATGAATTCATTTTCTAAATTTCCCCAAGAAGTCTTCAGTGTTGTCTTTTCGGATAAATAAGAAAACTAAGGTCTGGAGAGGGCGAGTGCCTTGCCCATAAATCTGACACTAGAAAAATCCTGGAGTGGAGCCTAGATTTGGCTTAATCCCCAGGCCCGACTGTTATCTCGTGCCAGGCGCTTTGCTACACGACTGTCTGAAGCCAGGTGCCTTTAGCAGCAGCAGCAAACTACCAGCTGCAGCCCACATACGCGATGCGCTTGGCCGGCTACCTTGCGGCGCACGTACCACGTTCAGCAGCATGATGATACAGAAGTTGATGCACACGGCAGTCCCTGTGGTTGCAACCTGCGAGTTATTCCTGATCAACGCCCACTTGAAGGCCGCGAAAGTGCTGACGGTCACCACCCGGTAAATGACGATCCCAAACACGGCGGCGATCACCACGCAGATCTGCCGGGAGACAGGAGACCCAGTGAGCAGTGTGGGGGACATTGCAGGGAGAGGGTTCCCACCACCTGGCAAATCATCTGGTAACCAAACAAAATAAAGCAACTGTGGTGCTGACTCAAGAAAGCCCAACAAAATGCATGCTTTTCACCGCCGTTAAGGCTTTCTCTCATTTCTTTGCATTTACTTATTCAAATAGAAAAACCATAGTGCTTGAAAGTTGATAAGCTCTGTAAGCTATGGGGTAACATTTTATTAAGTGGAATATTAGCCTGAGCAGATAGATGGACACATATTTATTATGGAAATCTTACAATGTCACTCTTCTCTTTAGAATTATTTACTGGTTTCCTTTTACTTAGGATAAGAGCAAAGCCCTCATGAAGACCTACAAGACTCTCTCCAGCCCCACTGAGTGCCATTTCTCCCGACTCAGGGACTCCAGACCTTCTCTCATTGTTTCCAGTGGGCTAAGCACCCTTAATCTTCAAGGCCATTTCCTTTGCCTAAAATGCTGACGCGCCCATTCCCCTGCCAAGCACACTCACAGCCTAGTTACCAACTGCTCATCCTTCACAGCTCAGCTCAAAACTGCTTCATAATTAAAGCTTTTCATGACTCCCCAGGATTTTTTGTTTGTTCTATGGTACCCATACCCTTCTTTCAGTATCCTATTAACATTTCCAACAATTTGTAAGTTTGATTACTGTCAGTCTCTCCATGGGGGCAGGGACGTATGTGTGTGCTCACGTGGCTACTGCAGCCCCTCAGCATAATTACAGGTGTTCCGCTATTTGTTGCTAAATAAGATAGCTGCGTGATAGGTACATAATCTTTCAGTAATCAGATATAAACACAGACTGCACCGAGACATCTTTCTCTGAAGGTTTCTTGGTACTGGAAAAGAATACACCTGTCTTCCATGTCTATAAAATAATGGGAATCTAAGACTCCAGAAAGTTTTGTGACTTTCCTTAGGTGACTCACTATGTCAGAGTAGAGACCTGAGCCTACTTACTTATCAAAAACTGGATCTCGAACCTGGGCCTTTGGAAGGCCTTTGCTGACTTACGGATTTCTTTCTTTTTTCCGTTTTCCACAAGCTCTGTTTCTGGCTTACTATGAGTGACATGCTCTAAAAGCTTGAGCATGAACCCTCGCTGGAACTGGCCAAATTATTATTATTTAGTAATAATAATCACCAAAGAAATGAAAAACTGCCCATGAATTAATCCTAGAGCTGTTGATAGGGAAATGGGTGAAATCTACGACGGATTTCGGATAGGGGTGGCGATATGATGGAATGGACAGCTTGCTGGGCTTAGAAGTCAGGTCTGAGTCCGGGCTCAGTGTGATCTTGGGTAGCTGGCTTGTCCTCTCCATGACTTCAGTCTCCTATGTTCCAGGTTCTTCATCAGAAGGACAAGGAAAGCTTAATTTATGTCTATAAATCTTGTTGTGAGACACAAAAACCAAGGCAATAACTTTGAATGTACTCATAACAAGGCACAGCAATGACACGAATGCGTACACATCCGTCTCTGTGGAAGGGCATGGATTGAACCTGCATCTGAGCCGAGGGACCCTTGGGCGTCCTGCCTGCCCTTTCATCTCCCCAATTTCCTTCTAGCTAATGGGGATGTGTTGTTTGGATCTGCTGCAGTCTTATCCTTTCACTCTACTGACCTAGGATATATATTTACATACCTGCCTTTTGAAAGGGGAAGGGAGAACCCTAACTATCCCTTATGGCTCTAAAATAACATTTCTAAGAAATCTATGTGTGTTTTGTTCAGTCATTAACAGGGTGAAAGTTGATGGCAAAGAGACTTCTTTTTAGGAAAAGCTAACAACCCAGCTTCAAGTTAGTATTTTTCAAACTATATACCATTAGTGAGCACCGAAATCAATTTTAGGGAGTTATTAAAAAAAGATTATAATAAAACAGAAAACATCAGACTACATTAAACATTAAAAAAGATTATAATGAAACAGAAAAAATCAGACTCTATTAAATATTAAAAAAAGACTATAATAAAACAGAAAAAAATCAGTTTATTGCATATTATAAAGGTGAGCATTTTTCAGTTACTCTATTAAGTTTTATATATCTATTTGCAAAGCATATACTGGGTTATAACAGAAAATGTATTTCTTACATGAGCATGGTAAAAAGAAGTCTGAAAAACACTGCTGCAGATTCTAACTCATATTTTTAGTTCCTTTCAGCATGACTTAGAGAGACAAGTGGAAAGAATATTGGATTAAAGTAGAAGACCTGAGCTCTTGGCAACTCACTGGCTATTTAGTGACTAACTGGACAAGCCCCCTTAAGCTTCTGGAGTCTCAGTTGCTCCACCTATAATATGGGGACAATATCCCTATATTACCTCAGGGAACTATTGTGATGGTTAAATAACAGAACATGTGCCTTCACCAGTTTGCTAAGTGGTTACAGCATCAGCCTGTGGACTGAAGGGCTCTGGGTTCAATTCCAGCCAAGGGCATTGTTCCTCAGTTGCAGGCTTGATCCCTGGCCCTGGTCAGGGCATGTGTAGGAGGCAACCAATCGGTGTGTCTCTCTTACATCAATTTTTTTCCCCTCTCTCTCTCCCTTCCACAGTCTCTGAAAAGCAATGGAAAAAATATCCTCAGGTAAGGATTAAATAAATTAATTAATTAATAACAGAACATGAAAAATGTTTTGTAAAACATAGCAAATGCCTGACATGACTACTGCTGCTCCTGTGCTATAAGTTTGTACTTTATGAAACAAACAAAAGAGTTTTGTAAAAATGTTCCAAACCATAAAAAATATTCCTGATGCAGAGACGATCAGTCGGCTGCATTTATCTGTAAATGCTTGATATGGTTCTGGCTTTCCCGAAATGGGGTTCATCCGCTCTTTCTTGGAATACTTGGCTTCAAATTGGGGCCGTATTTCTTCCTAAAAAATCAAACAGGGACATTTTATGCTCTGAAGAGGTGCACAAGTAGTAAGAAAAAAAATCATTTTACCTCCCAGGGACACTGAGTGACCGACCAGCTGCCACATTAATCAGTCAATCAAGGAGGTGGGTTTGAGACCCAGGTATCCATGTTTGGAAACTGGCCACTTGGAGAAAATCTAAAGAATGGTGATCTAGTTTATTATCATCAAGGCACTGTGACTTAGGCTAATAGTTATAATGGCTGTCACCTTCTTAGACTATGCTTGAAGAAAGAAACTGCGAGTGACAAAAGGGACCACCTGTCCTGTCTCGAGTGGTGTGAAACAACTAAGAAGCTTTTGCCGTTGTTACGGGGAAATGAAATGGACACAGGGGCAAAGAAATTTTCTGAACAGCAAAATGCTCAGAATTCATTTTGTGAGTTGTGATGGTGACATGACTCTTAGTATTCTCCGATCTTTTTTGTTTTGTTTTTTATTTAGGCAGCTAAGACCACGGTTTCTCTCTGTTTAAATAAGCTCCTATAGGAGTCATGCGCATTAACTGTAGATTTTAAATTATTCTTAATTGGTATTGAAAACAAAGTAAATACCTTTCAAATCCAGCTAACATCAACGCTCCTCCGATTCTAAATCAAGCTGAGATTTTATTTCAATTAGTTGGGGCCCCATCTAATGGGAAAAGCTGCTGAGTGAAAAGCAATTGTGGGATTAGCACGAGGCAATCAGCAAGAGGGCATACCGAAGTGGTTCCAGATAATTAAGTACATGTTCTATTTGAGGGTCTTGGAAGGGGAGAGAAAATGAGTGGAAACTGGTGAAATGAAGATTGAGCTGATCTAGGCAGAAACGCTCAAGACTTGATGGAGGTGCTGGCAGAAAGCAAGGAAGCGCTGACGGAAGAGAGGTTGTGAAGGACGGGCACAGCCTGTGTGGCCGAAGGGCAGCCTGGCTCCTGATCCAGAAGCCCAGTCTGGACACTCGGGCAGGTAATGGGGAAGGTCGGGGGAAACGCTGTTAGAAACCGCTTCTGCCTCCTTTCCTTTATTTTAGGCATTTATACTTGAGAATATAAATAGAACAGACCTAGGCTCTTCTGCTTCTTTGGGAAACTTTAAAAAAAAATATGTTTTTGTTGATATCAGAGAGGAAGGGAGAGGGGAGAGAGAGAAACATCGATGAGAGAGAAACATTGATCAGCTGCCCTCTGCGCATCCCCTATCGGGTATCGAGCCCATAACCCAGGCATGTGCCCTGATCGGGACTTGAACCGGCAATCTGCTGGTGCATGGGACTGTGCTCAAACACTGAGCCACACCGGCCAGGATGGGAGGCTTTTCATTTATCAGGCTGTGTCATCAAGAGTTGTTGAGTTAATAATCATCAAGGAACTGAGGTCAATCTTCCTGGGTCTTATGGGCTAAATTGTGTCCCCCACGATTTTATAGATTGAAGTTCTAACCACCAATACCTCAGAATGTGGTTGTATATGGAGACAGGGTCCTTGAAGAGGTAATTAAGTTAAAATGAGGCCATTAGTGTAGCCCCTGTTTCTCAGAAGAAGAGGGAATTTAGACAGAGACAAAGAGAAGACAGTGAGAAGGCTCAGGGAGCAGATGGGCATCTACAAGCCAAGGGGAGGGGCCTGGAACAGATCCTTCCCTCACAGCCGAAACCAACCCTGCCGACGCCTTGATGTCAGACTTCCAGCCTCCAGAGCTGCAAGACAATACATTTCTGCTGTGTGAACCACCCAGTCTGTGGTACTTTTCATAGCAGCCCTGGCAGACTAGTACCCTGAGTTACCCCTGCAAGAGGCATGCAGCAAGTCTGGGCATTTCTGCACAGCAAGCTGAGAGGCACAGGCTAGAAGAGGCATTTCTCCAGGGAATCTCAAACTGAGAACTGCAACTTCACATGGCTACTGGGGCAGGCTCCTGCACAGATACAGATGTAGGCTGAGTGGAAGACTGGCTCACTCTTTCTGTTAAATCCTCACTGGAGTATGTGTGTGTGTATATATATACATACATACATATACATATATTTTATTGAGTTTAGAGAGAAGGAGGGAGAGGGGGGAAGAGATAGAGAGAAACATTGATGTGACAGGGAAACATCTATCGGTTGCCTACCGTATGCGCCCTGACTGGGGATCGAACCCACGACCTTTGGGTGTATGGGGCGATGCTGCAACCAACTGGGCCACCCAGCCAGGGCAAAAAATGGTTCAAGCTTCTTAACAGGGCTGGGAAGATAGAGGGCTCCAGACTTAAAGGGGTGTTTATCCTGAGAGTACCCACATCCTGGGCCCCGAAAGTGCCAACAGTGATTTTGAGACTAGTTTTGTAAAAGTTACTTAAGGCCACACTGTATTGCTGAAAGAGGAAAATTTAGAACCACCTCTTTTCTATAGAAATGAAAAAAAAGTCCAAAGGTAAAGTAATTTGCCTCAGATGACACAGCTGCTTAGTGGTGTCTCAAATTCCCAGGAAAGAACATTTCCCATCCCATTTGAAAGTCGCTCTCACGACCACATGTGACAAGAAATAGCAGAACAGCTTCACCCGGGAGGAGGTCCCCAGTGCGGCCTGGAAGCTGCGGTCAACTCCGGCCACCTGGGCAGTTGCTTCAAACCCAGAAATTGTTTTCTGGGGAATACTTACAAAAGCATGATGGCGGCCTTATAAACAACAACAACAGCAACAACAACAACAAGGACTCCTGAAAATCCCAGTATTATTTCCAGATCTGAAACTGCCCACATGTGTTCATGGGCAAGAAGGGAAAAAGTCACGAGGCGCGATTTGAAGAAAAAAAAACAAAAATACCTCTCAAAATGATCTCCCCCACCAAGCCTACTGCGGGGCTAAAATGATCATTTATGTTTCTAGAATAGTCCTTTTAATATATAAAAATATATATGCATGGAAGGAAAACACCCAGTAACAGCCATCATCACGTCATACATGATTAGTTTCTCTGATTTACTGGCACAGCCAGGCTCTCAGGAAGTGGGACTCGGGAGTAAGAGACAAGGAGTGGAAGAGCCAGGCCTGGAGCGACTGACAAGGGAGTTGGGTCGGACGTGGGGACCAAGGCCAGCCTGGGTACTTGAGAGGCTTCTGACGGAACGGGTGAGTCTGAAGGCCAAGCCCGGGAGGAGGGCGCGGTGCGCTGGCCTGGAGGGGAGTGCGGCGCTGGGAGATGGGGGCGAAAGTGGAGTGAGGGGCTGAGGTTACGGCTCCTGGCGGGCCATCCAGGGCTGGCCCTGCATTTGGGCCACGCACCAAGGAAACCACGCACCAAGGAGGCCGCTTGAGGAGTGGTTTCCCTCCGCTCAGCCTTTCCCACCTCAGGCAGTGCTGCGGAGTCTGCGCACACGCGGGCTCTGTCCAGGGTCCTGGCGAGCTCAGGGAAGCATTTCCCACGAGTAGTTCTCTTACCAGGTTTGCTTCCCCGTGCCTAGGGTTGTAAAACTATTACCCTCCTTCCACTGAAGTAAGGAAATGGATAATATTTAAGAAAATGAAACGAATCTTATTTCCAATCCTTTGGATGCCTCTACCTAAAAGTAAAATGATTTACTTAGCTATGGACTTTGATTCCACTATGCAATCAAAATGTCTTTTTAAAAAATTTTAATTCTGCTAGTATTTTTATACTGCTTGGAGTTTTCTACAAAAACAGATACTGAAAATGCTTTATGGGTAAACCTTACTTCTGTCACAGAGCGGGAGTGATAACTCCAGGGGATTGTGTATTTCTTGCTGATTTGCTTTTTTATTTAACAAATTCTGACATAAATGATACAAACCTCCTCCTCTTCCCAGTCTATCAAATCCCAGTCATAAGCAATCACTGCTCGCCGTCTTTTCCAAAACTCCAGGAAAACTGTCGCTGGAACAAGCACAGAAAGACATGAACATTTTAAAATAAAGTGATGCTGTTAACTGTGTTGCTAAATAATGAAGCCACTGCAAAGAATGACAGCTGTTTGTGGAAGCATCCTTGGGCATCTGAATTCCCAGCCAAAGTTAACGTAAGTAGGAATATTTGCAGAGAATTACTAGGCTTGTATCATGCATAATGAAAAATTAGAGATTTCATTTAGAATAAATTAGGCTGATCTGCAAGTCGGGCAGAACAGCCTTATTAGGATGACAAAGCCCCCCGGGATATAAGAATACAGAAAACTAGGTTACTAACATCTTTCTAATTGATGGAGCATTTATTTTTAAAAGCCAGAGGCAGGTAGAGGCAGAGGCAAAAACAAAACTTAGCAGTATTTGATTGGCGGTGATTACTTGTCCCCCCAAATCCTCCTCGCAGCAAATATCTATGTAAAGTGTATATGTCTATTTCACTGAAGGAAGCTATTTTATTGGAGGAAGAAATCCCACTGCTTCTCTTTTTCTCCAAACCATCTCTTTATTGTTGCATTGAAGGCAGATGTTGCAACTTGTCAATCATAAAGGGTGATCCCGAGGCCATGAACCTGGGCTCCATCAGGACTGACACTTTTATGGAACACCCACTGCAAAGCAGTATAAATGGGGCTCGGGATGAGCGTAATGGCACTTTACCTTAAAGTTCAGATCTCTGAAGCAGAAACAAACAGGGTTACAAACAGTACCGGGTCCTACGAGTAGAGTGTGGGAGCTGAGACTTGCCAGTTTAACTCTCGGCTTTGCCGCCTTCTAGCGACCGCCTCAGCTCCCTCTATCACACGAGGGCAACAGTGCCAGTACCTTCTTCAAAGGTTGCTACAGAGATGAACTGAGATGATGCTGTACAATGCTCAGCACAGTGAGCATAATATACACTGTTATTATAGCTGTTGCTATTACTGGCCATTCCGGGTTTCGGCAAAAGGCATAGCCCTAGCTACGAAGAAACACCTGGGGTAAATCATTCTTTTTCTCATTTTTTTTTTTCTGGGAACAATATAAGATTTAAGCAATAAGTTGTCAACTAAAGCAAAGCAATTCAGACGATGAATTATTCCAGGCTTGCATTGCCTGGAGTGAACCTAAAATGTGCCCAAAGGTTATTAGAAAACATCTATCAGAGTCTTACTGAGTCCCCTCCAAGGTACAAGGACTGTCAAATCTCCAATCCACCAACTTACATCTTCAGAAGCTCCCAGCTCCATCTTACAGGCAGCCACTGCCCATCAATCAGTTGAGGTGGGCAGGCATAAAATAAAACCTATCTATTATGCCCAGCATAAGACATTCCAACTTGCAAGGAAGGGATGCAATCCCCTTGGTAAGGGTGGTGCTGCGTGAGGGGTGGGGGAGATGACAACCTCTGCCTTATAGACAAATGTCATTATATCAGAACTTTACTCTTATATATAGTCTCAGAGGGAAAACTGTGGGAGAAGGAAATATTTCAGTCCAAGCGTATCTAAAATACGTGAAACATTAAAGTGATTAAGGGAGTTTTATATGTGAATTCTTCCAAATACAATTCTCTCTATAGAAGCATTAACTTATTACACAGTAGACTAGTAGCCCAGAGAAGAGCTTCCCAATGGGTATGCCAGGAATGGACTATAGATCTGCAAGAGGTAATAATCCCTTCAGCCCTTGGAGTGGCTAGGGTCAGGGTCCTTCGGGCAGTATTATCCCAGGCCATGAGCAGACTCCTTCAAGTGCATCTGTATACTGTGCAAATCTTATCATTTTCTCTGTGCGCAATGACTTGAAAAAGGTTGGGAACACTGGTCTAAGAAATAAATATATTTTTCAAAATCTCCTCGCTTGTAATCATGGCAAAATTTAAGCACCAGATCGCTCATTATGCTTCCTGATCATGGCTACCGATACTGATAAGGTCTAGAGAAACCAAATACACATTCCTGATCTGAGAGCTCAGTCCGGTAACCAAAACTCTGTTAATGAGTAGATTCCTTTATTTGCAAGGGACAGAGACACACATAGTGAGGGTTTTCTGCAAGGCCCACCAAGGGAGGCAGGAATCGCAGGGGAATAAAGACTGGGCCTATTCAGAGACAGGGTATGGAAGCCAGCAGCTTGAGAGACCTTAGTCACAGGAGACCCTGGGTCTTCACGCTGATACCCCCCTAACGACATGGCTTGGCTACACTCTCTCTTTGCTTCTCTTTGGGGGATTGTTCCACGTTTCCTCCCAGTTGGCCACCAGTTGGCTCCTGCACCCTGTATTCTATATCTTTTCCACTAGTTCTTCGTTTCTGTTTATTTGGAGGTTCTGATTTCTCATAACTTCAGCCTTTTCCTAATTCCGCCTGGTCCCTACTTCTACCTGATGGTCAATCTCAATCTCTCCCTCCCTCCTTCCTGCCGTCTCTGCATCGTTCCCTGTCAGTTTCTGCTGCTACCTTCCTGTCTCTATCTGCATTCCCCAGTCCACATTCTTGAGAAGGCAGAACATCAGGTCTTCTCCCAGGCCACTCAGGAACCTAGGGTTTGACTACTCTTGGGTCAAATACCCACTGGCTGAAAGGGGCTGAAGTCACAGAAATCAAAATATGTCCCTTGAACAGAGCTGTGATGGGTGGGACAATATTCCTTTGAAGATCTCTAGGTAGGCTAGCCTTCTCAAGAGAACAAGGCTTTATATGTCCACCCATCAAAGAGCATTTAAACACACTCATGGCATAAACAAATCCTTTTGGTAATTTTTTTCCCATTCCCTTTTTTCTTTCATCCATCCATCCATCCATCCATCCATCCATCCATCCATCCATCCATCAATATATGAATCTTCTTTAAAAGAAATGCATGAGGTCTCCAGTGACCCTTGAGGACCACAAACCTCCAGGGGAAGATAAAATATGTATGCATATTATAAGTTCCCCTACAATGACGTAAATCAAATGCTATGAAAGTTCAAAGGAGAAAGACATCTTCTGGCTGGAGCAGATGACATTTCAGCTGGGCCCTGAAAGATGGGGAAGATTCTGATATTCATCCCAGGCAGACGGAACCACCTGAGCCTAAGCCTCAAGCTCTGTAGAGTTTGGTAACATCAAAATCCAGATTTGGCATTTTAAATTTTAGAAAAAATACATAATCACTGAAAAAAATTCAAATCAAACTGAAAATATATAGTGTAAAAAGTCTGTCTTTCATCACTGCTCACACTTACCCTTCCACAAATCCTCTCCAAAGGTAACCACCATTCACTGTTCACTATGAATTTGTCCAGACTCTTTTCTATGCAATTAAATTAAAGCTTTATAATTATTTGACTAAGAAGATAACCCATTAAAATGCACCAGTTTTACAAAGACGTGGGTTAAGTAACTTTGGGTTAAGCGATTCCTTAAGTGAATGTTTCATCACACCTTGTTATTATGGGGCTGTTGGCTTGAACTTATATAGAAAGACTCGATTCAGCTTTTTAAGTAGCTCTAGTATAAAGATGGTCATTTTGACCAGAATTGGAAGAAATCCAGAGGTGAGTACTCATACGTTAGCCTGATGAAAAGATCCCACTCACAACAGAAAGTCCTATGCATACTGAGGTGGATATTTGGGTCTTACCATATCTTTCAATGTACCCTAAGCTTTATTTTTATCTCCAATAGAAAGTAAATTTTACTCAAATAATAGAATGCTGATGTAATTGTTGAAGGTTTAAGAGAAATTAGACATGTTTCTCCTCGACAATACCACTTTTTAAATAAATCAAATGAATCATTTACCAGCTTGTGTCTAATGAAACAGGCGACTGAATTTACTCCAGCTTTTTACTTTCACATCCAAAGTCTGATTTCTAAAGGAACGTATCACAGAGCATGTGAGGGGATGGAACTCAGGTTATATGGAAGTGGAACACTTACCCCAGACTGCCATGAACACAGCAAAGAAGACAGTGGCTCCGTTGTCAAAAAGGTGGGTGACCTGGGAACATTATGAATCATAGTTAAGCTAACTTCTCATATGCTATATTCCAATTCACACTTTTTTTCAAGTTCTGTAAAAATAGCTGTGATGATCCAATTAATTTTGCAGGGTTTCTTTGGAAGATGTTCCTTTTGGGTCATAATCAAGAAGGGAATTCCTCTGTGAAGTAGTTTGGATATGGAAGAAAGAATCTGTTCCCTTATTGTGGGTATCAGCTAGTTGAACATTTATCAGCAGCCCCAACAGCGCTAGTAAGAATTTCCTTTTGTGCACTATAAAAACTATTACGTGTGTAGATTAATAGATGGATATATTCAAGACCAGTAGGTATTACTGTTGCTGCTTTAAAAGTTTCTGGTTTCCCAAGTACTGTTCTTAATGCCTCATTTATTCACTTTGAAAACATCGCTATTTTGTTTGTGTAGCTTTGAGCAAGCATTTTCTGGGCTGCCCTCTGGGTTCCAGCACCATGAAGAGGAGAGAACAGCGCATTAACAAAATCCGCTTCCACCTGTAGTAAAGCCTTGGGTAATCACACTATTTACCTATTACACACATCACAAAGACAGCTAGCAAACACTTTATTGTTAGAATAATATATTCTATTGCAAACACCATGGCAGAAAGCAAAAATATTCTTGCTGCAAAACTGCCAGGCTTATTTCCGCCTCCAGGATAAATCACACGAATCTCATGCCAAGTGGAAATTATGACTGATACGTTCATAAAGCCTAATTTTTTGGGTGCTTTATAGCTTGCTATGAAGTATGCTTTACTGTCCCTCAGAGAGTGTGCCAAGCATAAACAGATATTTTCCTGCTGTATCAGAGTGTGAACTATTTCAAAATTTTCCAAAAGTTTATGCTTTCTTTTTTATTTTTTAACATTAGGAAAGAAGGCAACATTCAGATATCTAATGTGAGATAAAAGTCTAAAGCTGATTTATTTTATATGCCAGAGGGAGCGTGAGGCTGCATATTGGGCACTCAGCATCAAAGCAGGCCCCAGAGCCCCAGTGGCCTGGGGGGTGCGCGCTCTCCACCGGGGTATTTCCTGGGAGCTGGCAGGAGCTGCAGCCAGCAGCATCGGTGCAGATCCTGGAATGGGCTGCTGGTTGCTCAGACCTTTTTTCCTTCCTTCTCCAGGTAACAGATCTCTCTCATGCAGATCACTAGGGGGCACATAGCTCAAACAGAACCACTCTGAGTCCTTCCCTGCGACTGGTGTGAAAACATTCGGAGAGAGACATTTTTCTGCTGCAGTTACCAATTTGAGAACATGTGAATCGGGAGGGGTGGTGAGTTAATGGGGACATCTGGTTCCCACTGACATGGTAAGGTGGCAGAAGCTGATGGCTCCCTCTGCCAAAATCAATCCTAGAAAAGCAAGATAGTAGATTCTGGGAACTAACAAAACATAAAAACAAACAAAGACCCTGAGGATCTCCAGGAGAGATGGAAGGTTGCCTTGAACCGAGGGGGTGGGTGGGGGTGGTGTGTGTGTGTGTGTGTGTGTGTGGTGATGATGATGATGATGGTGGTATATGGGGTGAGTTAGGTAGCGGTCCCCAAGCAGAGTGAGGGCACAGGTTAGAGAAATACCTAAATTCTATTCCAGCCTCTCCCTCAAGGGTCATTGGACAATTAATTTTCCCTTCTAAGAAATCAGCTGCAACAGGGCAAACCACAGGTACTGGTGTTCTTGGGGCAATAACAGGGGCACTCAGAGTCCTGCTTGGTCCAACAGTGGCAGCAGGTGCTGCCTGGGCAGGTGCCTTGGGTCTTCACTTCTCAGTACATTCCCTCTCAAGCCCCGGGGCTGGTGGACTGCAATCAAGGGAGAGTGCCTCCTCCCAAGTGTCCCCTCTTCTACGTTTCAAAATGCATCTCCTGCCAGAAAAGCCCTCTGGAAGAGTGGTGGCTCACAGTGATGCCGGGGACATGTCCTCTCCTCTCTGTAAACTCACCAGATAGACAGCCCAGAGCCTGGCCTCTGACCTTTACCCAAAGTGCTTGTGACCTCCATGGGACAAGCACCTGCAGGACAAAATTATGGAATATCTGGGGAAGACAGCTGCCTCCCCTAAAGTCAAAACCAGGCAACATGTACCTTCTGAAACAGGCATTCTTTAACAGCAGATGAAGAATTTAAAATAAGCATAAAAATATGCTCAAGGAGACAAAGGAAGGAAGATATAAGCCTGGAGCTATGGCAGTCAGCAGCCACCTTCCCCATCATCTGTCTGCAGAACGATCATGTAGACAGGTGGCAAGAGAGCCACACCTGGGGGCCTGGAGGACCAGTTCTAAGCCACGAAGCCCTTGTGCTTAGATAATGTGAACTACTCCAGTGTCTTTCCCAAGGAAATGAGCCAATAAGTCCCCTTCTGCTTCAGTCAGTTAATGCTGGGTGTCTGAACCCCACAAATACAAGAGTTGGGGAGAAAATATTCCTGATCAGCAGAGCAGTCATTGATTAAATTGGATCTGGGCTCTGATATGATTCCTATGTCCTCAGTCCCAGGAAATCAGTCTGGCATTTCCGATAAGTTTTTCTAAATGAAAGTCTATACAACTTCAATTCTGTCATTCTGAGACTTTTTAGCCTTCATTTTACTAAGTTTCTAGGTAAGACCAAACTTAAAATCCATAATCTAAACACCTTGTGACTCAGTATGGCATGCTGACATGTTTTGTAGTCAGATAAACTGAGGCACAGCCACTTATTGCTGTGCGGCCATGGATGAGTAATGTTCACCTCTCTGCGTTTCTGAGTAAAATGGGAATAATAATAACATCAACCTTGAAATTGCTGAGAATTACAAAGAATAAATGTAGTTTGCCCAGTTATTTTTATAGCTATAGCCTAGCTTTTATTATATAATTAGCATTCTAGATGTTATATTTAGGAAGGTAACTGCCCAAAGGAGCCCCTATAAAATCTGAGCACTCAAAACATAATCCTTTTAAGGAATTATCTTGGATCTCCTAAGGAGAGGACTTCACTCAAGGCATGCCTTCCCAGGTAAAAAACAAACGAACAAATACCCTAAAACAACTACAACAACAACAACAAAATGGGCTTCTGAGATGCCCCAAAAGCAGGATTTTTGTACCCAAATCATTCAGGCTTAACTCGCGATCTATAAACAGAAATTAAATTACTGACAAAACTCTTTGTTCCTCATTAAAATCTATGTTTCCCTGGCTCATTCTACAAAAATTGTCCTCATGTACTCGGGGCTATTTGTATGTTCTCCAAAGGCAGGGAGAGTATTTTGTGCTTTTTTTGGTTCCTTGCTACACATACTAAGAGCCCAAATCATTTTAAAATCGCAGCTGGCTGCTGTGGCTCAGGATCCGCATAGACTGGCCACCTGCAGTGCTAAAAACATCACCATGGATGGGCGGGCTCCTGGGCTGCCTATCAGATGTCCTCTCATTTATAAGGTGCAAAACTCTGCAATGCCAACGGCGTAATCGGACAGGGCCAAGCTGCAGTGATCACAGAGGTTCAATAAAACCCGCCGATTCCTTTCGTATCTGGCATCTGGGCAAGTTAATAGGCAGTGGGTCTTAGAAAAGTCCTCATCAGCCCATACTTCAGCTAGTGCTATGCATTAGCTGACTCTGCCCCTAAGTAAAACACCATAGGAATTTGATTAATATGTCTAAAATTTTAATAAAGTAATAAGGTATAACGTGAGGAAGGCAGATGCAATAACCTGTCAAAGACATAATGGTGCTGTATGTTTCTTTGTTTCAAAAACACTTTCACATGTACTATCTTCCTTGGCTCTCATGACATGTCATGGGGCAGAGAGGGCAGGTGTGCATTTCAGAGGTGAGAAAGCTCAGCCTCAAAGAGGCTGTACCTGTGCAGGGTCAGGGAGGTAAAAGTAGCTGAACTGGCCTTGGATCTAAGCCTTTTTGACAGTAATGATGAGGAGGAGGAGGAAAGTGATGGCTTCTCACTCACTGGTATATTACCATTTTGCCAAACACTTAGCGCAGTATACATCTTATCTCATTTTTTTTTTATGACAACTGTGTGAGACAAGTATCATGTTCTCATTTTACAAATGAGAAAACGGGCTCGGGGAGGTTAAACAACTTGTTCCTTGACTGACAAGTGGTAAAGAGAGCAGCCAAGATCTGAACCTTTCTCCGACTCTAACAACTGTGCTTTTTGTACTCTGTGTGCTGCAGCTTCCTGTGATCATAATCAGAGCCAATTCATTTAATATACATATATAGTAAAAGATAACGGAATTAAAATAATGAATGATGGAGGTAGGTCTCTCCTACAGCATAAGCTTGAGGATCAAAGACCAGAAATGACAGAGAACACAGCTGGCCTCTGTTCCTCAGGAAAGTGTATGTAAAATTCAATCCACCTGAAATGCTGCATATTTGGAATTACCTTGGCATAAACGCAGCTGTCTGACAGCCTCATGAATGGACAGTATTTATCACACACAGGACACATGATGATATCTGTAGCTTGGCAGACTTCTTTACTGGAAAAGAGAACAGGAAAGGACTGCTTTTTGACGACATAAGAGCATTTCCCCTGCTCCAATTTCATGAGAATATTCAACCAGTAAGTAAGATCCAGTAGATCACATTTTTGTCCTTCAAAACTTCTTAGCCTTATCTGCTATTAACATAAACAAGATCCTGCACAATTTAATAATTTGATACAATTATTTATGAAGCTGTTTCTTGGACTTACATATTAATAAGTTAAACTCAGGAAAATACATGAAGCAAAACATTGGTTGTCATGCCCCAAATTATGAAAAAGTCATTCATAACATCACACAGGTTTGAAGCAATTTCACACTGAATTGTGGGAACAATGTGATGCCTAAGAACACCTGCCTCAATTACTATATGCATAAGTTACAATTAATAATGGAGGAATAAATAAAAATATTAGGGATTAGTTCTGGGAGAAAGCTACATCTCATTAACAATTTTACCAGAAAGTAAAATATATTTTTAGGCAGGATGATTAATCACTTAAAAAAATTTTTTTAAAATTTATTTTCTTTTTTAGAGAGAGGAAAGGTGGGGAGGGGGAGGGGGGAGAGAGAGGAAGAGAAAGAGAGAGGGAAACATTGATCAGTTGCCTCCCGCACACATCCTGACCAAGAATCTAACCCTCCACCCCTTGGTGTACAGAATAATGCTCCAACCAACTGAAACACCCTGGCCAAGGACAATCAGTTTTATTTTGTGATCCATTCTAAAAGGCACGTGTATTTTTTAAGAGCACTGTCCAGCCTTGCAATAGCTCTATGGATACCTTAAACTCTATTTTGGTGAGGGAGCCAAGATAATGGTCATCAACACTGAATCATTAGGAAGACCCCAGCATGTGGGCGAGATGGCTTTCTGGTTTAGGTTGAAAGGGTCCTTGTAAAAACACAGAATTCATACAGAATTACTGTTAACCCACTATTTTGCAGGTTAACAGAGAGAAAAAAGTGCAAGTCAGAAAGAGCACATTTTGGCCAGTGAATGAAAGTGATTTGTTCTGTGGACATATCATGGCTATATGTCCAGAAATCCAAATTTTGCTTCCTTCGTAGCTGGAGACCACAGCAGCGAGGGCAATGGATGGAGAGACTTAGTAAGTTGAGCCTTTTGAATTTTTCCAGAAGAGACCAAGAAGGAAGTTAGAAGGAAAAGCTAAGAGGGCCCATGGTCTGTGAACACCCCCAAAGCACCAACACCCATCTTTAAATATAAGCAAAGGCAGCCTCCCCCGAGCTCCCCGTACCTGACTTGGCAGTGATCCAGAGTGATGACTCCATACAAAAAGACAAACAGTCCAATGAAGGCAGCTGGGAAGAGCATGCCGGTGTACCACCCCAACCAGGCAAAATACAGGCCAATCTTCTCTCCAAAATACCGCCTGTTTGAGACACAGCAGCCTTACAGGTTATGGTGAAGTGTTGAGGGTTAAGCACTGTAACGCTTTGCTCAGTCTTTTATTTTGTAGTGGTCTTGCAGATAACACGTAGACAAGGTAAGCCAAGGGGATGGAAAATGTGACCCAATCTAGGCTTTGGGCTTAAGTTTCTTCTACTACTCTATCAGAAATAGAATGACCCCTTTATAAAAGGACATACACAAGCCCGCTCTGAGAAAACAGAGTAAACCCAATCTTATTCAGGAATATGTAGTAACACTGTTATTAATACAAACCCAGAATTTGAAGAGCTGGTGCCAACACCTCATTTTTGCCATTTCTGAGTGTATGCTTATTTGTAATGCATGTATTATCATCATATATTTCTTTTTAAAATAGAAAACAAACTTATTATTGGTTTAAAAACTTTAAATATTCCTTTCAGTATTTTGTAGCTTTACTAGATGTTGACAACGCTAGAATCACATGATACTGGAAAGAAAACACACACCTGTAATTACTGAGATCCAACATGAATAGATACTTAGAGCAGGTCCCTCTTTTACATGGTGACTTTTCACAGGCTTCAATATCTGCCTCTATGAATATTTTTCTGAGGCCAACCAGCCTGCCTAGTATCCTGTGCTCTATGAAGTTTGAAAGTGTTCAAGATATTCCTTGATTTTATTTCTTAAATGTCAATAACATGATCAATCAACTTATGTTAGAATATAAACCAAATTGTGCTTTCTGTGCCTTTCATCTGCTATATTTCATGACACAGGAGGCAGTCATTTCTTAGCTCAACATAAGAATATTCTAATTAGTTTTTTCAATCTCATTCTAAACAAATGTTGATCATCTGCTTCTAAATACTGGCTGCTTGCTGCTTTCCTCTTAGGATGTCCAATGGCTCCTAAGAGCATGAGATTATTTATTTATCCCATCTTCCACGGTGTCCCAATAGAAACTTTCCCCTCCCTGAAGGCTTTTCCAGCATACCCTTATATACATATATTTATATATTCATTCAACAAATAAAAAATACCTACTATGTACCAAATACTGTGCTAGGTGCTGAGGATACATTGGTGAGAAAAATAAGCTTGGTCCCTGCTCCTACGAAGCTTGCAAGATAATAGAGGAGATTCATGTATATCAATTAAAGAAATAAGTTTATGATGACAAAACTGGGAAAAGAGCTAAAAGGAAGAGGATTACCATTTTATTAGCATATATAACAAGCCCATTTGACCACCCTAGTCAGGGAAGCCTTCTTTGAGAAGGTGACTGTTGTGCTGATGACAGTGAGTTAGGTAGGTAGGCTTGGTGATAAGATAGTTTCCAGCAGAGGAAACGGTGTGTACAACGGTCCTGTGGTAGGAGGGACCAAATGAATTAAGGGCAGTGTGACTGGAACACTGAGAACAAGAGGTGGGCGTGAGGTAGGTGAGGGCTGGGCCTCAGTGGGTCTTGCAGAGAACATGCTAAATGCATCGATCTTTGTCCTGAGAGAAATGGAAACTCATGAGAGAGTTTTAACGATCAAGGGACATGATCAGATTCACATTCCAAAAAGGTCACTCTGTTTTCTGCAGGGAAGAGTACGGATTGGAAGGGGCCAGAGTGGGGAAAGGGAGACCAAGTAGGGGACACAGACATAGTCTAGGTGACAGGGGAAGGAAGCAGTATGGTGGAGGAGAGAGGCTGGGTGTGGCCAGATTCGAGAGATGTGGAGGAAGCACAATTTATAGGACAAGAACTGTTTTAGAGATGAGTTTCTCTAGATGCTCCACACCTCACCCTACTCAAATCTCGCTTGTGCTTTTCCTCTCCCTTTCCTTTGCCAACACCAGTCCCACTGCTTGTTCAGGGCTCAGCTCCACAGAGCCTTCCACAGAGGCACATCCTTTCCAATTTTCTGAATTCTTGTAAAACTTACCACCTCCATCAGACATTTTACGTAATTGTGCATAGTCTTGTATTGTTTCATAGTTGTCTCAAGTATGCAGGGCCTGTTTCCCTGAAGGAAACCAAGAGTTTCTCAAAGCCAGAGACTGTGGCTTCTGTGTGTCTTTGCCAATAGTACTTAGCATCATACTAGAAACACAATGGCAGTTATTAATACTCACTGACAAACTGCAAAGTATTAATCAAAACACGGTCATGAACAAGATATGTTTTGCCTCCATGAGCTTTCTGTAATTTTTAAGCACTGTAATCGGGTAATACAAAACTGAGGCTGGGAAGAGAATTTGCTCTTATTCCCTACCCCACCCCCCATTGTTTTATCTTGTATTAAAACTGGTCAATGGAAAATGATCTCATCTCAGGAAATATTTTCCACTCACACAAATCATCTGGATCACTTATTTTACCAACACAAAGAATGGGACACAATTCATCAACGTCCTTTAGTCAACAGTAGTAAATACTTGGTAGCAAGGACTCTGGCAGGAAGAATGACTACCCAGGGAGATGAAACGTAAATGAGTTGTCTTACTATTTCACTTTCCTCTGGGCTCACTTTTTGAGGGCCCCCGTGAAAGTGAGACAAATCCAGCTAGTCTAGGAAATGAGACATGACTTTCTCTTTAATAAGAAATCCATGAGGTGTGGACTGTTGCTACCCAGTTTTAATAACCAGTCTTCTAAATAAATAATAAGATGTCAGAGTAGAACACAACCATGGCAGAAAGTTGGGCATATATAGACACTTAAAAAAATACATTCTCACTGCGCAATTATTATTGATTAAAAGAGGATCTACTCTTTTGACCTGAAGTATTAAAACAATCTATAAAGGTTATAGTTTCAAGTGACAATTGAAATGAACATGAAATTTATTAGCATGACTGCACCACGTATTTCTTACTTACATCATAGTAACTAATGTTCCGTCACTTAATATATGTCAGCAGTGTCGCCTCTCTACAGTTGCTACTGATAATTTGTCAGCAAGTCACATGGTGACACGCTCCTTATGGAGTCTTGTGGGAGACCTGGCTGATCTCACAGGCCCCTTCCGCAGGCCTATTTGGGAAACACACCCTTGTCGGAGGGAGGTCTGGTTTACCAAGAATGACCCATGGCCCGACAGCTGCCTTCCTGGAAAGACGCCAGATGTGAGCAAGAGCTGTGCGCCTCAGACTGGTTTTTCTTGTCCCAGCAGACAGTCTGTTCTAATCATCTTGTACAAGCTTTAGAAATACAGTTGGTTAAAAACTCACCTTACGAGATCCAAAGGCTGGTATTTGTACCACACGCCCCAGGAGGCCCAGCACTCATAGAGCAGGTGTCGGTGGTTTTCCGCTCCATGGGTTCTAATGGAGTTTTTACTCCTGTAACCTCCCTGGGAGGAAAACACACTGCCGGTGAGGTGAGGCCCACAGAAGCCACAAGGAACGTTAACAAGAATACTAGTCTCTGATGGCAAGAGTAGCCATAGAGGTGTGAGAAAAAATGGATCCGTACTATTGAAGGGAAAGAAGTTTGGTTAGTCATTCTGGACATTATCTTGTTGATGATCCTGTGCAGTAAGAAGCACGTGTTTGCTAGAATCTGCAGGTTGGAGCTGAGTTTGGATTCAGTTCTGTTACTGCGCAGTGAGGAGACCTTAAGCTCTCTGAGCCTTGGGTTCCTAGTTCATAATGGAGCTAATAGTATCTGTCTCATGAGGCTTCTTCTGTGGTTTAAATGAATAAAGTGACTTGCTCAGAGGCTGCACCCAAGACCTATTAGTTCTCTTTGCTAAGTTAAGGCTATTTGGTAAACAGCGGTAGTGGCTCCTTGTCACACGGCCTTGTCTATGAGACAGTGTTAGAATGTAAAAGCTGGAAGTCACTTCAAAATTAGAAAAATTCAAAACTAATTCTACCTCCTCATTGTACACATGAGGAGACCAAGGGCCACCGAGGTGGGGTTTTCTGAGTTTCGTTAGTGGCAACGCTAGCTTCACAAACAGAAAAGGCACTTCCTGGAGGTGAGGTAATTACTGGGAAGTCCTTTAACCCGAGAAGTCCTTTTTTAGTGGAAAGTAAACGGGGCAGGGGGACAAGAAACTCGGGTTCTAGTCTCAGCTCAACCACCAACTCCCTGTGTGACTAGAGGGGGGCTAACCTTTCTCTCCACTTCTAAATTTCTTTAAAATTTTAACATGAAACAAGGGCACTAATATTTGCCCTCCCTGCCTTCCTGTCCCTGAAGGTTATGAGGTTAAATAATTTCTAATCAAGTTAAACTGAGAGTAAAAAGGCAAAAGAGCAATTATGTTGTTGCAGCTGCTATTAATTTGGACATTCTCTTAAAACATAGGGCTTTGCCAAGACATGAAAACCACAGAGAAGGCCCTGGCTTACTCCGTGGGGCTTCACAGCTGCGTCTCCTCAGACCCCCTCGTGCCCGCCACCCCTTCACCTGCACAGACACTTCTGCCCACCTACCGCTGCTCAGACACTGCTCTTACCATGGGCGAGGGCTAGGCAGTGGGCGGGCACAGCACCCACCAAAACTNTTGCCAAGACATGAAAACCACAGAGAAGGCCCTGGCTTACTCCGTGGGGCTTCACAGCTGCGTCTCCTCAGACCCCCTCGTGCCCACCACCCCTTCACCTGCACAGATACTTCTGCCCACCTACCGCTGCTCAGACACTGCTCTTACCACGGGCGAGGGCTAGGCAGTGGGCGGGCGCAGCACCCACCAAAACTTTTTTGGCAATGCCAACTAATAACTCCAGGAAGCCATGTGCTGTTCTGGTGGGAAATCTGTCTTTAGAGCTCAGAAACACCTCTGTGTGGCTCTAGAAAACCTTTTCGTCAAAGACTTTCCTTCTGTGATACTAAAAGGATCATTCCATAAACGTTTCATGGTAGACTATAAATAGGGTCTCAGACCAAAGCAACTAGTTTTGTTATGAATAAAGTTTTAAAAACTCTAAGTCACCTTTTACGTCCTCATGGTGTTTGAAACCAAGGGAAGAAAACTGTTAGACAAAAGAGAAGACTTGCCACGTGGGGACAGGTGAATTGTCCTCTAAAGTTTCTTGGCAAACTGTTAACATTGTTTCTAGTAGAAAACTGTTCTGGAAATCATTCTAACAATAGTTTCCTCCCGGTAGGTTGTGATGTCCTAGAGGGCACGCACCATATTTATCTTTATATTCTCTGTGCCACACAGTGACCAGTACGGCGCAGGGGCACAACGCTATGAGAAAGACAAGTCTCACCAATAATGAAAAATCCACCTGTAAGGAGAACTCTGGGTGAAGTAACCCAAGATCTAATGGGGACACGGAGTTAAGGGTAACCACAGTTACTTTTATGAAAGTTCTAATATATGGCAAAGAGCATGTGGTAAATAAGAAAATAAAAAAAGTAATAGTACGCTTTGAAAAATCAGATTGCACATCTCTTTAAAGAGCAATGATAAGTACACTACCATTAATTTCCATTTTTCACCCTTTGGTTACCCGAGACTTTGCAAGATGGCTTCTTCCCACTCTTTAAAGAATAACCATGCGTTTCTTTGTTGCAGAGCCTATATATTTCAGGAACATTTCCCCCCTGGGTCTGGTGCCTCATGCAAATTTTCAATGCCTCTTTAATTTTATGACTTGGAGTCCCTCAGCTATTCCTCTGAATTCATGCTGAGTGACTCCTGTTTCAAGTATTCTTGGAATTACATAAAAAGACACATAGAAATAAACCAAACGATGCTGGGGCACAAGGCAAGTAGGCCTAATTATCTACTGAACAAATTAAATTCATTCTGAACAAATGTCATATCAACAAACTCAATTAATGACTATCTCCAGAAGCTGATTTAAGAACAAGAAACTGGGAGACGGACAATGGGCAGGACATACCTCGTGCAGAGGGAAAGCAGCTTCATAGGAGCCATTGGTAAGCAAACGATTCAGACCTAAAATGACATAAGGTCCAGTTCGCATTAATGCAGAGTTTCAGCTCTCACAATACTCAAGACTAATGTAAGGGTGGTACTTTCAGGAGAAAACCATCTCGGTTTTCGAAAGTGAGGTGAACCCACTTGGGAACACCAACAGTTTAGAGAGAACATTGCTATTTGCTAGGAAGCTGGAATCAAGACCTGGGAATTTTTAAACAGAAAACAATGAAGTACACCTGGTACAGAGGCTGGCATAGAGACTGGAATATACTTATATGAGTGGACAAAGGTATCATAAAAAAACATGATTTTCCACCAGGAGCTCTTCTATTTTTATCCAGAAGCTTCTAATGTGGACGAGTCTGACTCTTGTGTACTGAACAAGTAGTATCACTTTGGAAAAGTCCTCTTGTCTTCGGGCCTCAATTTTCTCACCCATAAAATGGAGTTTCTATATAGATGATCAAGTCATCTGAGGAGAAAGGCAGTTTTACTTCTTTTCTTGTTTTATTGCATAGGCTAGTAAAATGATGAATATATGAGCAGACATACTTGAACTGTTTCTTATCTAAGGGGGAAAGTGCTCTGTCTTTTACCATTAAGTATAATGTTAACTATAAGTATTTCATAGATGCATGTTATAAGGTTGAGGAAGTTCCTTTCTATTTGTAGTTTGCTGTGTTTTTATCAGGAACACATGCAGGACTTTGTCAAATGCTTTTTCTGTGTCTGTAGAGATGATCTTCTGGCTTTCCTTTTTTACTTTGCTAATACGGTGAATTACATTAATTGATTGGATAAACCCTACTTGGTCATGATCTATTATACTTCTTATATATATTGTTGGATTTTGTTTGCTAAACTTTGTTTATTATGTTTGCACCTATATTCATAGAGGCTATCAATTTGTAATTTTCTTTTTTACTATTGTCTTTGCCTGGTTTTGGTACCTAGGTAATATAACCCTCATAGAATAAGAGAGGAAATAATCTCTATTACTCAGTTTTGTGAAAGACTCTTATAGAATTGGTATTACTTCTTTCTTGAATGGCGGATAGAGTTCACCAGTGAAATAATCTGGGCCTGGAGTTTTCTCTGTTAGAAGATTTTAAAGTATAAATTTAATTTCACACATATACACATAATCAGATTAACTAGTACATTTTTTTCTGTTTTTCCTTTTTTTATTGTTTCAGGTGGGACAGAAAATCTTGTGCCTGCTGCTCCATCTTGGCCAGCAGTGGAAGTTTAATGTGTTGATCTTTAAAGTTTCTTTCAGATTGAGATTTATGCTACCTCCTGAAATGTATCCGAGAGAGGATGACTGGAAGGATGTCTCTCAAGTAGTTTATAAAGAAATGCTCTCTATGCTTAGATCCTGATTAGAGTCCACAGTCTTAGCCTAACTGGAAAATGGAACATGCACAGATTTATTCTGTATTGATGGAGTATCAATCAATGTTTAGGTACTTTTAATCATAGAAACACAGTAACATGCTTTAAGATGCTTGACATTAACACTAAATGTCTAAGGAAAGCATCTGAAATACAAATATCCACAGGGCTTTGTATTTTATCTAGTACACAGGAGGCTCTCAATAAATACCTTTGTAATGAATAAATGTGTAGAAAGCTTTGATTTCCTGGAGTCACTATTGAGAATTTCACATATCTCATCAATGACTTTCAAACATTCCAGATATTAGAAAAAACAGGATTCACATGGACCTAAGAAGGGACTCTGCTGATGCCCTTTGTAAGTTTATCACAGTTTATCAAAGTCTTGCAAAGTAAGAAAGTAGTTAATATTTGAAGTCTATCAGTTTACTAACTTCCCCTCTGAGCACCAATTTTGAAAATCAACTTCAAGGCTTATTTTATGCATTTACATTGTTAAATAAATCTCTGTTGATCTATCAATTGCTGTATTTTGAAAATGAATTTCAACAGGTTTGATTTTCAGTTATAATAAATTCAGAGTGAAGCTGAAAAACTTACATAGTGGTAGTTTATATTCTACTGAAATTCTCTTATGAATCGTGTTTATAAATCAGTATCTTTTGTTATCTCTAATCAATGCTGGTTCCTGCAAGATACTTTCAGAAAAAGTTTCAGGCAGAAAATAACATTGGATAAACATTAATTCTATCAGTAAATTAAATTTTTTCTAATATGTTGTTTCTTTTATTAATGAAACCAAAGATGACAATGAAACATTGGCTTAACAGAGCATTTGTAGTTTTATTTCATATTTTTAGCATAATGCCTAATCCTGGGTTAATAATTCACTTTGTAATTGGCTATCTCTAATTTTTCAGTTCATCATTACTTATTTTCAAAGCACTGGGGGGTTCTTGAGTAGAATTCTCTATTTTTCATCAAACGATCAAGCTAGTAAGAAAAGATCATTTCTTACTAGTGATATTATACTCCCTGTGCTCCTTCAGAACATTTAAAAAACACTGTCTCTGCCCTTCTTTTGTCTCCATCTTGACTAGTTGTAAAAATAGCCCACATTTGAGATGAAAAATTAAGCACAGTAATTGCTATATGGCTTCATTATACACAGTTTTTTTACTGTATAAGGATGCTATAGTTGGACATTGATCATGTTAAAAGATTTCCAATTCAATTCAACAACACTTCTGTCATATGCCAGATACTGTGCTAGGCAAAGATGATACAAAGACAAATAAGGGGACTTATTTACAATTAAGGAGCCTGTTATCTACACTTGCAGTTTTCAGATGAAGATTCTCAGCACACTAGTGCATCACAGTGAGTTATGAGGTGTGCTGCAAATTATAATACCAATTTAGCAAAGGCAATATTTAAAAAATTATTTCCATTTTATATGAAATAATCTAGAATAGCTGCTGCCATATCATTTCACTCCCATTCACTTATTTTCTAGTATGTTCAAGAAACAATGTTCACTGATAAAAATGTATGATAAACAGTAAGTGTAGTGCATCCTACGTTTGTTTTAAAAATCACATGGACAAATAGGGGATAAATATCAAGAATCAACTAATGTAATATTTAAATTATTTAGCACACCAAAATGTTAACAGTGGTTCTCTTTAGTTGGTAGAATTTTCATAATGTCATTGAAAATAAATAACCCAAGGTAATAAGAGAAGAGTTGTAAATGATTAATTATCAAATAAACACACAGAAACAATTGCCATATGAATACAGAGGGACTGGTTCCTTTAAGCTAGAATGGTCATGGGGGACTTTATGCAGAGGGGGTGTCTCAAGGATGGGTGATGCTGCAGAGAATATGAGGACGTGCTAACCCACCACACTGCTGAAGGTAAGTCAGACCTAAATCAGGTTCACTGTCATCATTCCCACCCACACGGACTCTCACTGAAAATATTATTCTAGGTATATTCAGATCTGGACTAAGTAACTGTCAATTTCTCCCTATTATATTTCGATTTATGCAGCCTGGGATCTAAGTCGTTTTTGGCAGCTTCACTGAACTAGTGACTCACGCTGAGCTCCATTCCACTAAACCTCTCCAGTCTGTTCCTCCCTGATGTTGAGCAACATTTCTCCACAGCACCAGGGTGGTTGCTTTGCTGAATGTGAGTGTAAGACTTTACATTTACAAACTATCAAATGTCATCTTGTTGGATCTGGCTGAGATTCCCGGATCCCCGGGATCAGCTAGGCTCTTGACTGCAATGACGAACATATTTAATGCCTCCTTCCAGTCTCCACCCCACCTGAAAGCTTGATGAGCAGGCTGTTCGGGCTAAGTGCCAGTTATCAATGTATCGCCCCTTTGCTCCAAAGGTACTTAACTGCCTGCTTTGCAAGAATGGAGTTGGACCTTGCAAATATTTCTCCTTTGCCAGATGGCACAATGTTAAGCGTTAACAGAAGGCCCTGGAGGGACACTGGAGGAGGGAAGAGTGTGTCTCCCTGGTACCAGCATGCTCCTCTCAGCAGGCTTCTGCAACACGTGGCTTCTGTGGCACCCAGCTCCTGCAGTGCATGGTAGCCAGTGGCACATGGCACCTCCCCAAGGGCAGGAGCCCCTTGAACAGCCTCATAGAGTAGTGCTGCTCGAATGGCATCCTTGGACCTCTCCAGGCAGCTTCTTCCAGTATTGAAAAGGGCAGGTTCCCAGAGGCCTGGGGCAAGGAACCCCAGCCAACGGCCCTGCTGGCTAGTGAACCACAGCTGCACCCCGCCCAACAGGGTCCATCTCAGCTTTGTTGGGGGGAGTCTCTCCAGGGGTGGTGGCTGCTCCCAACACCTGTTATTCCTCTCTTCTTTACAGTTCTCCTTACTCTTCACTAGCCACTCCTACATTCCTCCAATCCTCTGTCCCAGTGGGTTTTTTATATTAAATGTTCCCTCTTCAACTTATGTGGGATTTTTGTTTTTCTGATTAGACCCTGACTGATATAGGTCATTATTCAAACTACTGATAAAAATCTTGCTGTGACAGACATAGGGACAAAGCCACCCAAATTTTCCTCCTAATACAATGATCTGTTTAATAACGCAGGAAATTTGGTAACATAGCATGGAGAAGTTCTCGCAAAAATGTCCAAAATGTAAATTGTGGGGGCTGGTTAATGGGGGAGATGATTATCTGGAGAATTTGCTGGAGTCTGACAGCTCATCTCTGCATGTGCATCAGCCCACACTGGCTCCCTTTCGTCACCTCTGTTCAAACTTCAGCTTCTTGGTGACGCTTTCCCTGACCATTCCATCTCAGTTTGAACTCACCCCCGCCCCTTCCCAGTCTATCTCTGAAATGCCACCCATTTCAAAATTTTCATGCTACTTATTACATTTACTTATTTATTGTCTGCTTTTAACTTCTTGTACATAAGCTCCAGGAGAGAGCTGTGCTCATCTCCCAACATCCAGTCCAGTGCCTGGCCTGTAATGGGCACCCTGTAAATATTTGTCGAACTGAGAGAATTTCTGCATGATCTTAGATACACGAGGTAAGGAGATCTAAGGATGCTATCGAGATTTTACGCCTGTGAGTTGCCCATCAAGGGCAAAGTCAGAGGTTTCACAAAGGATGAACATTTCTAGAATGGATATTAACTTCATAAAACCAAAGGAAAAAGCTTGCAATCCCCCAAAGTCAAACGTAGCTTTTTATACCAATACGCTACTTACCAATTTTGTTTTTCCCTTCTTCGTACTTTATTCTCTGTAAAATATGATGTACGATTCTACTTCTCGTGGCGTTGTTGAAGAACGTGTCTTTGTTGTGTATGATGAAGCTGCGCACACATATTGAAAACACAAAGTGAGGATTAGTTGGAGGTGAGGGGTCTGCTCTTGGATGTAATTTGGTGCTACTCATACATGGTATCTTCAGTCAGTCACAGGGAGGACGTGTCTAGAACAGCAGGGGAGAGCCCGGAGGTCACCCAGGGCCAGGAGTCTCACAAATCTCAGTTGCTTTGGTTTTCAGTCTCCTGAGCATTAACATCATTATGTCGGGAAGGAGCTAGAGCTAAACAAAATTAAGAAACCTAATAATAAACTAATAGCAAGTCTAGGCCTCATATCTTGTTTTTTTCTCAGTATGGTATGGTCATTAGATAAATTCAACTAAAAATGTATTTTGTTTGTATCTGCTCTTCTCTTCTCCCCCATCCTGAGTTTTCAGGAATTTTATTATCTGAAACTGGCTTGGGTGGTGGATACAGGAGTTAGGTAATGAGCTCTGGCTCAGGAGTGAGGTGAGTATCTGAAAATCAACTCTGTCCGTTCCTTTCCCATTCTCTCTCCTGGATGAGGCCCCTCTTCTAAAGCATATACTTAAGATTGCTTTCTCTCTCAGCCAGTGGCCCAGCCAGCCTCCGAAGTTTCTCACAAGGCTCATACACACACACCATGACCTTGAATTTTTCAGTAGGTGTTCCTACACGACTGGGAGGTTTTCTAGGTAAAATATAGAGCTTCCAGGACCCCATAATCCAGCATGAAATAGCCATGTCTTGCCCTCCCAGGCATGAGTTAAATAATAGAATATTAGAGATACTGTAAGTATAATTGCTTCATAAATTGCAAAGAGCCCAGCAAACTTTTATTTGGTACTTTCTATGAGTTGGACACCACGCAAGGCCTATCAATGTTGGTAGCCATCACTCTCAAAATCCAGCTCAGAAGTCACCTTCCCCAGCAAGCCTCCCCACCCCCGCCTCTGCACTCCCGCCCCGAAAAGAATTCAGCACTCTCTCCTCTGAGCTTTTTCCTATCTTGAGCACACATTAATTTACTGATCATTCTGTACTGTCTTTGTTTTCATTCATTTACACAGCAAATGTTTACTGAGGGCACTTTGGAAGGTACTGATTGTACATGGTAAATAAAACAGATGAAATCTCGGTCCTTGAGGGGCTTACAGGCTAGTGGGGAAGACAAACCATAATAGAAGTGAACATGAGCATAGGACAAACGGCGAGAATCAACCTCCTCTCGCATGCCTTCCCCCCGGGACCCTGAGCTCATTCAGGACAAAAGGCCGAATGATCATCATTTCTGTGGCCCCAGGATCTAGTGAGTGCCCAGGACACAGCGCGGGTACAGATTTCTGAACAGCAGTAAGCGAGGGTCATGGGGATTTAGGTTGGAAAAAATTGCTATTAAATGTTTTTCTTCAAGAAGATGGATTCTCAAGTTGTTTAAATGATGGGAGGAAGAGAGAAAACTGGCCTGGAGAGAGGGTGGTCAGAAATGGGGTTTGGTTTGGGAATGGAATTGGGAATGTGAGTTTGGGACAACATTTGAAGGAGAGAAAGGCCAGAGACTATGAAGACAAAAATGTATGAACTGATTCCTTAGAGAAGTATTTTCCTCTCGCTTTTGCTTCTCTTGGATTCTGTGAGAGAATATCGTTCTCAGAAAAAGGTAATGTGACTTGATGGATGAGAGATAAATGCTCTGTGGGTGCATGAGGAAGTCACAGCATTTATCTGATATTGTCTCTAGGGTTTTCCCAAAAATGCGTGATGGCATCAACGAGGGAGAGGGGAGAACCGGGAGTTACCTTGAAAGTGGTTTGTTTTATTTCACCCTCCTAGCCTTTTCACCTTATTTGAGACAGACCATTGCATTTTAATACCAAATAAAGATGTCATAAAGAAATAGATGACCAATAAAGAAGCCCATTTGGATTCACAATTTCAGATGATAACTGAAAGCTGAAACGCAGGGCCACGCCTGACACGATTCCAGGCTGAAAGCCCGCGTCCCTCCTCCACTGCACAGTTTCCTGCTCCCTTCTTCTCAGCACATGACATTTTGTGAGCTCAGGTAACAGTTCTCTAAATCAAGCACTACTGACAAGCTTCCAAGTTGGGTTTTCCTATTCTGGAGCCTGGAGATTCTACAGTGGGAACAAACATAGGGCCTGGGCCAGCCGCTGTTCTAAGCATCCCGGACATGCCAACCTGTTCAATCCTCACAATAAGGAGCTGAGTACTTCATAGGCTTGTCTTACAGGTGAAGAATCAGAGAGGTAAAGGGATGTGCCCGAAGTCAGTCAACTAATAAGAGGCAGAGTCCGGATTTGAACTCAGGCAGTCTCACCTGCCTCCCTGGGTCGGAACACCTCTCTTTATATTCCCATTCGCTTGTTTTATTTTCTTCTTATATTTTACTCTCTACAAATCTTTTTTGGGGGTGGTGTTGGGGAGAGATGTGTGTATATGTTCATTGCCTGTCCTAACTCGAACATTCTAAAAATCAGTTTATTTTAAAAAATAAGTTTATCATTATGCTGTCTAAGGGATACTACTTTGGGGAAAATAAAGGTAATGGAGAGGCTTTTCAAACTTGATTTAATACCTATTTTAAAACTTCTGAGATTGATAAAACAAGAAAGTACCCTCAGAGGTATGAAAATCTCCATGGTTTAAAACTTCAAGTAGCGTCTTTCTCAAGAAGCATCTACCTACCTATAGATGATGCTGTACAGTTATTTTAGAATTATAGCCACATTATTGACCTCTATAAACTTAAAAACCTCAGGCACAAGGCAAGTGGGCAACAGAGCCGGGTAACTGATCAAGGCCTGCTTCTCGGCCCTGGAGTGGAGGAGCCTGAAGCATGTGCTTGCAGTGCTCCGGAGCTGCTCTGGCTTGCTGGCTGCTCCATGCTTCCCACTCTCCGTCAATAGAAGCATCTATTGCAACTGCACCGTGCCCATCTCCCCACTGGCAGCCGGAAACGTAGGAGGCAGTTGACTGGCCTTTTTCATGAACAGATCTCTGGTTCAAGAAGAACCATACCTGAAGGGCTGCTTCTGAGGGTCCTTGTCCCCAATCGAACCTGAGGCTGGCACATGAGATCCTGGACGTTGAACCTGATGCCATATTGGGATGAGACTTTGGGGATCCTAGAATGGGAATTATATTTTCTAGATGAGAGAAATGTGCATAAATTATGGCCAGAGGGAAGACGGTAGTAGATTGCACAAAAGGCCACAATTCTTCCTGTCCCTATACACACACCCCTTTGTGAATTTCTTGCTTCCTCTATCAACAATTAGAGTCTATCTCCCCACCTCTCGAATCCAGGCGGGATTTGGGGCTGCCTTTCATCAACAGAATGTGGCAGAATGATCTCTGTGAGACTTCTGAGCCTAGGCCCAGTCTCTGTAGCTTCCTCTCCTGCCTGCTTGAAATACCCGAGGCTGCCAATGTAAAGAAGCCTGGGGGAAAAAATGCTTCAGGAAACGTTCTTAATTAGGTTTTAAATAGAGATTTCTTTTTTAACAAGGAGAAGCAAAGGTGATACAATTAACTGTCACTTAAATGATGTCCTCAAATTAGTGAAAATCAAAGTAGGAACAAAGCAACCAATTAATTTTTTATGTGACAAGACCTATTTTGAGAGATTTTTGGGGCTTTTGGCAACCGTAGTGCAATAACTAACTCCTTATCTCAAGTATGCTTGTCATGAGTAAAAGAATGAGATGATTATCAGACTAAATATATAATATTCAGAGTTCTGACTGTACGCTAACGATTTTCAAGCCTCATTTTAGGATTAAGTTGATAAGCTCCTGGAATATAAAGCAATGTCAGACATTTTTCTTATTCCGATGGTCATTTCTAATTGCACTTCATCCTATCATCTTTGCTATTTGAATGTTAAATACAAACTAAGAAATACTCCTTCCTCTTGAGACTTCCATAAAGATGGAAAACTAAACACTTGTATTCACTTTTCCTCCCTCTCAAAACCTGATGAAAATAACAGTAAAGTGTGTGTGTGTGTGTTTAAATAAAGGCATACATACTCAAGAAACAAAGATAGTAAAAAACAACAGCAACCAAATGTTGGAATGTGAAACACAGACAGACAAGTGGTAACAGATCTAAGAGACCAGAAAAAAAGCTAAATCCTAAACCAGCTCTGGGGAAAAACAAGAACAATCACATTTATGCTGCAAAATCTCATAAAGTTTCAGAACTGGGGGACCAGAAACCTCTAGAAATAGGATAAATGAGGTTATTGAATAGGTACTAGTTAAAAGCTGTTTAAGAAGAAGCTAGATGCCCGTATCCTCACCTGTACTCTACCAGACAACTGGAGTTTTGTCTTTGTTTGGTTTTTATAGGGTAATGCGATCTCTGAACTGTGAGACGCTAGGCATGGTTAGAGATAGAGGTACTAGAGTGAAAACTGAAGGATCAATTGAATCCTGGAAGCTGAGCCTCCCAGCTATCTTCATTCCCTTAGGCTCCAGAATATTGTCAGCCAGGCCTTAACTTTCCAGGCAGAAGACTGGCAAATTCTTCTCTGGGGAACCTGGGCAGCCTAAAGATAGTGACATTGGAGACTCCAAAAAGAAACCACCCAGCCATTTTCCTACAATGAAGCCCATAGTGGGAGGCTCCGCCTATTACTCTGAACTTACACCCAAGTTTTGCATTTCCTGTTCTTAAGTATGGACCAAAGATCACTAGGTGCCTGAAGAAATCCATTAAAATCCATTAAAAAGTCATGATGAATAAAGCCATATATGTTTAGCCCCCAGTTAAAATCATATTCAACAAAGCATTGGATGTGTTAGCCAGAGCAATTAGACAAGAAAAAATAAATAAAAGGCATCCAAATTGGAAAGGAAGAAGTAAAACTGTCACTAGTTGCAGATGACGTGATATTATATACAGACGATCCTAAACACTCCACCAAAACTGTTAGAACTAATAAACAAATTCAATGAAGTTGCACAATAAAAAATCAATACACAAAAATCTGTTGC